TTGGTGTTCCATTGCGCCAGTAGCAGCTTAATCATGCTGACCACATGACCCAGACAAACGTCGGCTCCCTTGGACAATAAAGCGAGATGAGGGCCACAACCTCAGAGTCGTTCGCGACTGGACTTAACTGTCAGGGGTCCTTTACCTTTATGCCATAGCTACTCTGCATTTGAGGCTATAAGACTTCAACTTTTTGTACTTGGAAACTCGGTCCACATTATATGCTGCCTAAATAACACCCCCCCCCCGCTGCCCTGCTGCAACAAAAAGGTAGGCAAGAGTATTCAGCATTTGCTGCAGCTTCCAGGCAGTAATCAAAGCTAGCCCTTTTATTACAATAATAAATCATCAGGGCTGCGGGAGAATGAATATGGCAAGGTCTCCATGTAAGGGGATAGCTGGCACACCTTAGGGGATGTATCCTCCCATAGGTCCTTCCCTTCCACTGCAAACAGAAGGGGAAAGGTCTCCTCTGTTTTCAGTTCTCCACTCATGTAAAACTGTTTTGAGCAAGTATCAGTGCTATTTCCCAACAGTTCACCATCTCTATGAAACATCCTCCCAAAGGACATTCCTGATGTCATTCTGCCAGCAAGTAAAAACTCCCTTGCTTTTAAAACCATTTTTATCAGTGAGTGAGCAGAAGCTCTGTTGCTGCTGAGGTTTTTATATGGGAATGGTAGTGTTTTGCTGCAGCCTTGGTCGGATAGAGTATAGTGACTTTTATTAGCTTTTAAAGCTTGGACACTGCCTCAGGTGTGTCTGGCATAGTGTACAGTGGTACCTGGGGTTACATACGCTTCAGGTTACAGACTCCGCTAACCTAGAAATAGTGCTTCAGGTTAAGAACTTTGCTTCAGGATGAGAACAGAAATTGTGCTTCAGCGGCGCTGTGGCAGCAGGAGGCCCCATTAGCTAAAGTGGTGCTTCAGGTTAAGAACAGTTTCAGGTTAAGTACGGACCTCCGGAACGAATTAAGTACTTAACCCGAGGTACCACTGTAGTTTGTAAATACTGTAAGTAAATAAATGAATAGCTGCAACAAATGAAAACCATTTGTATAGACACTGTCATCACCTTAAGTCTTCAGTAGCAAAGCTGAATCCAGAGTATTCCCAGGCTGTGTACATGATCCTTCAGGTTAATTATGATCCTCTGCAGAGCAGGAGGCCCCTCCTCATCCAGAATGTCTAAACAAGCCTTCGCCATCTCGTGCTATCCAGATGTTTTGAACTATAGCTCCCATCAGCTACATGCAGCACAGCTAATGGTCAGGTATGATAGATATTGCAGTCCAGAAAACCTAGAGGGTACCAGACTGGTGGAAGTTGGTGTAAATCATGATTGATCAGACCTTGTAAATTAAAGTCAGCGCACTTCAGTTGTAGCCTATGTGTTGCATCCAAAGGTGCTGTTCTGCGAGCCGAAAGCTTCTACTACATGTGTAAAGGATTCTCTTGACCCAGACTGTAGTTTGTGGAATATACCTTCCTAATGAGATGTGTTTGTCTCCATCATGACTAACTTTCAGGAGGAATTTGAAAACATTTCTTTTTGCCCAGGCATTTCGTGACTGAAGAATATGAAACAGGTCAATAAAACATTAGTCTATCACAACAAAAAACCCACTGCCCCCTCCCCCATCTTCCTTATGAATGTAGTTTCATAAGCTTGACCCTGCAAAAATTAAGATTTATGCATATTGTGCAAGCCTTCATAGTCCTGTCCAGGCATGTCAAAGTCCATGCTAACTGTGTGCCACACTTTGGCCACCCCCTGTCTTAAAGTGTTGGGAACAGGGCGAATTCAGCCCATTTCCTAAATCTTCCTCTCCCATGACAGCTGCTGCAGCATTTTCTGTTTCTGCTATCCCTATTGTTCTTTTCTATTAGTCCTTTGCTGTGTCAGCAGTGGTGACAAGAGCCTGGCCCGTGTTTGCATTCAATATTGCTTTTGGCTCTCCCCCCCCCAAAAAAAACCCCAGTGCAAGCATTTCCATTTCAAAAGTTTTTTGTAATAGATAGCCACTTGTTGCAAGTTCTCTGGAAAAGTACAGTTGTACTTTAAAAAACAAGGGATGTGGGTGGTGCTGTGGGTTAAACCACAGAGCCTAGGACTTGCCAATCAGAAGGTCGGCGGTTCGAATCCCTGTGACAGGGTGAGCTCCTGTTGCTCGGTCCCTGCTCCTGCCAACTTAGCAGTTCGAAAGCACGTCAAAGTGCAAGTAGATAAATAGGTACCGCTCTGGCAGGAAGGTAAATGGCGTTTCCGTGTGCTGCTCTGGTTTGCCTGAAGTGGCTTAGTCATGCTGGCCACATGACCCAGAAGCTGTACGCCGGCTCCCTCGGCCAATAAAGCGAGATGAGCACCGCAACCCCAGAGTTGTCCACGACTGGACCTAACGGTCAGGGGTCCCTTTACCTTACTTTAAAAACGTTTATAGACAACCAACATTTATGTATACAACACAACTTCCTCCAAACTGTTAGCAGGTTTCTCCTGCAGAATGTCTTACCTTTTCATTATAGCCTGGTGCCCTCCAGGTGTTTAGCACTACATGTTACCTGACCATTGGCAACGCTAGCTGAGGCTGATGAGTGTTGCAGTGCAGATCTCTGGAAGGCACCAGGTTAGGAAGGCTGCCTGTATTCTGTGGTGTGTTCTTCTCTATGTACAAATAGGGTCTTGTGCAGTTTCCTGCTTAAAGATGCCCACATAGGGACTTGCTCATCTTGTAGCTGTTGACTTCTATCCCAACAAAAGTTGCATCTTACGCTCCTCTTTGAAGTTCTGGTGATTTTATTGTTCATCTTCTTCCTTTTTTTAAGGATCTTGAGTATTGTTGTTATTGCTTATTCATGTTGGAGGCAGCTTCTAACGAGGCACGTTAGTGTAGAAAACCCTTTTGTTGAGTACAGAGCATGTTGAATTTGTGGGTTATCAGGACCTCACCTGAAGTTGCGTTTACAGATTTAAATGCTCTGAGGCCTCTGTAACTCCTGCTTGCCCTCTCACCTGGCTAAGCGAAATAACATCTGTTGTGTATATGAGAGCATTTCAATAAGGTTTGAAACAAACACACATACACATATCTCATAGGAAACTGCTAGCAACCAAAGCCCGGGCCTGCTCAGCTCTTCATTCCTGCTTTTAAAAATGTGTATACACTGCTGTTGGAATCAAGGTTAGGCTGTAAGCTTATTTGCTCAGGAACCAGGTCCTCAAGCCAATTTGGAGAGTGCTGAGTGTACATCCCTCTCTCATAAATAATGTATTGCTGAGGACTGTCAATCTAGTATATGCAGGGTACAGAATACATTATATGGTCTTTTCCTGTCTTTTCCTCTCTGAAATTGCTTAAGTTGAGAAGCCTATAACGGTGGCTCTAGAGGATGAATGTAACTCGGAGGAAGACTGAGGTGATCAGGTTTTTTATGGTTGGATGTGCTTTTATTTGTTACTATTTTGAACTTATATTAAGGGGGGTGGGGAATGCACCTATAATGAAAACTGCTCATGTTGCATCTGTGGTGGCTTGTGGTTAATCATATGACTGTGAACGCCTAAATATGCTGCAGAAGTAATAGCACAAACTTTTGAAGCAAATGTAGTCCACAGGTTAGTTGTTAGATGCTATTTAGTATGTAAATATGAATGTAAACATAGTGTTAACAAGTAGTTTTCTTTAGTTGAGGTCTTTGATGTTAATACGTATGTTTTTGATTACAATCTTTAAACTGCTTAACAAAATAGCTAATGTGTTGCATGAAAAGACTGAGAGAGAGAGAGAGAGAGAGAGAGAGAGAGAGAGCGCACATACACATTTTATGCAAAACCATCTACTGGAGTACTTTCCAAATCCTCTTAGCTCTTAAATGACAGCTTGGAGTCTCTCCTTTACCTGATTCTTTCTTAAGGAGGGGAAAAAAAAACCCCTCCTCATTTATCCAATGAAGAATACTAAACAAAAGATGGTTAATGCTCCTTTTCATATAGGCAGACCAGTATGTATTTGTATCTGTGCTTTTTAGCTTATTAAGCTTGCACGTAACTATTTTTGAAAATGCTGACTTTGCACCCTTTGGTGCACAACACAAAGGCTGGATCTAAAATATCAGACACCTACTGACGAATGACCTAGGGACTGCATTAGTAAAGTAACTTGTTTCACTAGTAGAAACCGGAACATTCACCACAAGAGGCTGAGGTGTAATTGAAAGTTTATAGCTAGTACATAAATTCCATTATTTGGGGTATTTACAACAAATCTGTTTTTCTTCTGGGACCAGGCACTATTGGTGTCTACAATAAACCTCAGCTAGCTGGATGTCGAAATCTGCCGATGTCTCTTAGTGCAGCAACCAAGTGGCAACATGTAGTGGCACAATCTATGGTGGTGGTGGGGGGGTGCTACAAACAAAGTGAGCTTTCGTAGGCTACCTTGTGCTCCTTGACATCTGTAGCAGACAAAAGAAATAGGTGTGCTGTGTGACTGACTGAACTGGAAGAAACATGTTCACAAGAATTTGTTCCAACTGATTGGAAAAGTGTGATTTTTCTTCATAGCACAGTATGGGCAAAGCTAGAGTCAGGAAAAGTAGAGAGCACATATAATGCAGCAGGAGGATTTTTATAAAACCCTGTATCTCTTGCAAGCACCTTCTCTGAATGTCAAATAGCAGACCTTTTGGTGTTTAGCAAACAGCATCTTCAAGAGGAAGTCAAGTACTGGAAGAGAATGTTCCAAATAACTGTGCAATGGTTCGGTTGTTTGCATCCATCTTTCCTAGCTTAGCACTGCCACTATCATTAGCTAATCAAAATACTCAAACTAGCACACCAATGTTTGTTTTTATGTATGCTGGCTTAGACCCACAGAAAACAAACAAACTGTGCTTATTATATATCCCATTGCAAGGTCGTTGTGGAGGTCACATAGACTATATAATCAGAGCTGCAAAGTTGATGTGGTCTGTAATCATTTGTGTATTCATTTCCAGGTGACTGTGGAGGAAGTAATGACTACAACTGCCTATTTGGATCTCTTCTTGCGGAGTGTTTCAGAACCTGCTTTACTACAGATCTTCCTCCGATTCATCTTGCTGCACCGCCATGAGAATGTGCACATCCTGGACACCCTCACAAGCCGCATAAACACTCCATTTCGGGTGAGATGAGAATAACAGGAACATGGCCGTCTTTTACTCTGTGGGATTGTTTTAGACAACTGCAAGCTTATTTTGCTTATGCCTTTGTGAATTTAGCCACTTTAATATTCTTTAGGAAGTGCTTAAAATTTCTTGAAAAACTTCACACCTACAAACAATACTGGCCCTGTTTTCAAGCTTACAAATTAATAGACTCAATACAAAAAGAAACATGGAGGGAAGAAGAAGAAATAAGGAAAATTCCAGTCATCTCTTACATAATACTGCAATGACAACTACCATTTTATTTCACCAAGTGGCCCATATGATTATTATTCTTCAGGGGCATTCTGGGAATTTGTCACAGAATTTCTCCTTACCTCAGAATGATGCAACATAACCAGGGCATCCACAGAATAAAATGAAATGAGCTGCAAGGCGGTGGGAGGGGGGATAACCTGGGATGTTTGGGGGAAGAAGTGTTGTACCAAAGCTCACCCAGTGAATCTACAACAGACTGGGTTCAGTTCAAATCCCCAATATAAGAATTATTCTCTCCTTAGCAGTTTCTGCACATCTAGAAAACTTTTTCCCATCTGAAGTTTGAGCTGCATAAATTCTGCTTTTGGGTGGCGTATTCATTGTTATCCAGTTACTCTATCACAGGCTGTGAACCCCATACATTTAAATTACATGACTGCCCCCCAAAAAGAATACTGGGAACTGTATTTTACTCCTCACAGATCTACAATTCCCAGGACACAACAAATTACAGTTCCCATGATTCTTTTTTGTGGGTGGAATGTGCTTGAAATATATGGTGTGTATGGTTCGAAAGCACACCCCAAAGTGCAAGTAGATAAATAGGTACCACTCTGGCAGGAAGGTAGCGGTGTTTCCGTGCGCTGCTCTGGTTTTGGTGTTCCGTTGCGCCAGAAGCAGCTTAGTCATGCTGGCCACATGACCCGGAAAAACTGCCTGTGGACAAACGTTGGCTCCCTCGGCCAATAAAGCGAGATGAGTGCCACAACCCCAGAGTCATTCGCGACTGGACTTAACTGTCAGGGGTCCTTTACTTTTAAGGGGACGCAGGTGGTCTAAACCACAGAGCCTAGGGCTTGCCAATCAGAAGGTTGGCAGTTCGAATCCCCGCAACAGGGTGAGCTCCCATTGCTCGGTCCCAGCTCCTGCCAACCTAGCAGTTCAAAAGCATGTCAAAGTGCAAGTAGCTAAATAGGTACCGCTCCGGCGGGAAGGTAAACGGTGTTTCCATGCGGTGTTCTGGTTCGCCAGAAGCGGCATAGTCATGCTGGCCACATGACCCAGAAGCTGTCTGCGGATAAACACCTGCTCCTTCGGCCTATAGAGCGAGATGAGCGCACAACCCCCGAGTTGTCTGTGACTGGACCTAATGGTCAGGGGTACCTTTACCTTTACCTTTACACAGCCACAGCCCGAAGGCGTGAGAGGCAGAAACATTTCCATTGAAACAAATTTGCAGGTTCTAAAGAATTCAGCCATCTGAATATAACACTGTTTCAGATAAATCATGGAACTGGTATTAGTATTTTAAATTGCTATTTTAATGCTGGGTGTGATGTCGTGTCTGCCTCTTTGCAATTTGTTTTTGATACTTAATTTGAGTTTATTTTGTTTCTTTATTTTAAGTTTATTGCTTGTCTCTTTCGCCTATACCAAGTCCTCAAGCCGACTCCACTGCATTAGAAACAACCATAGCAATACAATAAAAGTTAATTGTATAAACAATTAAAACAATAAAACTATTAATGTAAACAACAATAAAATCAATGAGTCAGCAGTAAAATCAGCCCTGCAGCAGCATAAAACCGAATTGGAGTTTTGGAGTGTTTTTCTTGCCACTTAATTGGAGTTTGTTTTTTGGTTATTCCCCGTGCGTTAAGTAATCAACTGCAGAAGTGTGTATCTCAGAAGCAGGCTTTTATAAAAATTTAATGGCACCATATTTCTGAGTGTTCGAAATTAACTATGCAGACTTATGAAGCAGTCACTCGCCCCCTTCCCAAAACGTTACTCGCTTGTCCCCAAGCAAGTTTTCGTATTTTCATTGTCTCAGTTTAGGGAGGTAGAGTGAAGTGGCCCTCTATGCAGCATCAAAACGCTTGCCTTAGTATTCAGATGTTGCTCAGTATGATGTCAATATAATGCTATCAGTGCAGCCAGCTTGATCACTCCTTTGGTTTTTGCAACATAAAAGTATTTCTGTGGTATTGAGTGGACTGCCAAGAGCCGCTTCTGAAAATAATGGTGGCATGTTAATTAAGCCACAGAAATAGTTAATCTAATAGGAGCTTCCTTTCGCAAGCAGGTTAATCTTGAAGCACCTGCTGCGGTCTGCATTCAGCAAGCTGCACTTCTGATCCCCTCTTTGGCTGGCACTTACTCAGTATTAAATGATGGAGGATGCACTCCAGCATATGGGTGGAAAGGCAGGCAGAGCCAAATGATCAACGTGTGTATTACGTTTATGTATTAAGGACGACACCTTGCGCCAAATAAACATTTCCACGTAGTGGAGGGCATGCACATAGCTGCACGTACTCGCGGCTGTGACTCTCGCTCCAAACAGATTAACTCTCTGAAAACTCCCAAGCAGCTTCAGTCGCTTACAACTTGCTAATGTGTGTCTCTCCTGTACCATAATTATTTGTTCCACAGACAAGAGGGGGTGGGTATTGCGAAGAATCCCCCAGCCACGAGCAACTCAGGAGCGCCGCCAAAATGCATCAGTGATGCTAAATGAGTTCTCTGCTGTATAACTTAGCCAAGTATAGAAACCATCCCCACAGCTTTCGGCACGTTACCATAGCACTGTTGTTATTGCAGGAAGGTTTTGCAATACCTGATAGGATTAAACGTGCAAGCGCTTCTGTCCACTTGGAACACATATAAAACAGCTTTCCTTTCGCCTCATGAACTAATTAAGACCATGAATGTTTTTGGTCACTCCCCCCAACATCCTATTCCTTTAAACTATAGGTCCATAATTTTGATCAGTGTACGGTGGTACCTCAGGTTAAGTACTTAATTCGTTCTGGAGGTCCATTCTTAACCTGAAACTGTTCTTAACCTGAGGTACCACTTTATCTAATGGGGCCTCCCACTGCCGCCGCGCCGCCGGAGCATGATTTCTGTTCTCATCCTGAAGCAAAATGCTTAACCTGAGGTACTATTTCTGGGTTAGCGGAGTCTGTAGCCTGAAGCGTGTGTAACCTGAAGCGTATGTAACCCGAGGTACCACTGTATTCTCCACAGCTTCAACAGATTACAGCACTCAGCAAGAACAAAAACTCTATACAATAACAGAACCCCATTTATGATGTTCCTTTACAGAATCCAATTTTAGTGTCCTGTTAATCAATAATCTTCCCACATGAATTTTCATTTAATTCTGCCTTGCGGTCCAAACCAATGAGGTGAACCTTCTTAAAGTGCCTCAAACGGTTCTCTCAAACAAGGCTATGCATGTAATTTTGCTTGGCACTCTAGGCAAAGCAGCAGTCCGCCTTCACCTCTTTGTGCGGCTGTGTAGGCAGCAGTGATTCACACAGTACAAGAATAGGAACAGAAGAGATAGTCTTGAGGATATCATGCCTAACTTGACAGGAAGAGGAAACCCTTTTTGTGCCTACAGTGCTTCAGGGCTGAAGGTCAGGCGTTTCTGTGCTCAGCCGATTTTAGAGAACTGCTGCCATTAGAGAGGCTTGAGATGCACTTCCTTGATTTAGGAAGTGGGAAAACATGACCTGAGCTGCAGATAATGTCATCCATTTGAGTATAGCACCACAGAATGCAAGCAGCTTTATCCCTACCATAAGCTTTCAGCAGCTGGGGTGATTTTGAAATGTTGATGTTAATCAAGGAATGCATCATTTGCACTGAATTATCCTAAACATCTAAATAGACTCCAAGTCCCCAGTATTCAAACTTCCAGATGCAGCTAAACACTACCTTCAGTGAAATACAGTGGCTCTCACAATAGATCTTTCCCAATACAGTGGTACCTTGGGTTACAAACACTTCAGATTACAGACTCCGCTAACCTGGAAGTAGTACCTTGGGTTAAGAACTTTGCTCCAGGATGAGAACAGAAATAGCATACCGGCAGCGAGATGCCCCATTAGCTAAAGTGGTACCTCAGGTTATGAATGGCTTCAAGTTAAGAACGGACCACCAGAACGAATTAAGTTCATAACCAAATGTACCACTGTATTTAGTCCTTATCCTCTAGTAAACTACAGATAAAATGTATTTGGTAACATGGCATGAGCGTTAACGGTTCTATGCAAGGTGTGCATAAAACCATTAACCTTTTCCATTTTTAGGAAGCCATTTTTGATGAAAAAATATATGATGGTACCTGGCTGGTACCTGAGTTTCTCTGCATTTGTTGAGGAACAGAACCGTTTTTCTTAAAAGGCCTCCAGCTCTTTCAGAGTGTTCCAGACATATGACATGATACCATTCCAACAGAATTTGACCCTGTGTATGATGATTGTATAATAATTCTGTCTAAGAAAGAGAAAAAAATACTTACGTGAGGGTTTGGGGTTAATCACATTTCAGTTCTCTTTAAAAATTCATATTTGACTAATTGGAATTTTCTCTCCCTTACTGCATTACTGAAAGGATTATAGTATATATCTATGCTTACATCTGGCTTTATTGGGGCATGCTAAATTAATTTGTCAGACGATGTTATCTAGGTGAACTAAAACATACATCTCATCTCTCAAAAATGCTAAAATTTAGGTTGTGAGCTGCTTTAATGCAAAATAATGTTTTACCTTAGGAAAGCATGGAGATTTACAGATTTTGACTCTGCTTATCTTTTTTTTTTTAGCTCTGTGTGGTGTCCCTGGCATTGTTCAGAACACTTATCAGCTTGCATTGTGAAGACGTGATGTTACAGCTAGTTTTAAGGTAGAATCAAACACTCTTTCTCCTGATGTTGCCCTGCTATTTCCTCCCTGATGATTAGTATCCTGTGATTGCTTCATACCTGTTGTTTTACCCATGCTGTGCATGGTGTGAGTAGGTGGAGATGTATGTGTTACACTGTTGTGGGTGAAGATCACACACTTCTGTTTTAGGATGTACAGAAAGCTCACTGTCAATCCTAAATGTCTAGTGCCGAAAAAATGAAAAACGAGAATTTTTTTAAAAATCACAAACCGCTTAGAAGAATGAAAGTAGACTTTCCACAAATTTAGCAGACTGAGTGAAGGAATTTACATTCATTCGGATTAAATTGACAGAGGCTCTTCTGCATACAGAGTGATGTGTCTTGTTTCTGAAAAGGGTCAGTACTTCCTAGGGTTTGTGAGTGCATTAGGAAGAATATGATCCATTTTTCACAAAATAGTTTTGAGGAAGCCTATTGAGAGTTAGCTGGCTTGGCACTGCACTTTCACAACAACTTACCAGTCAGATACATCCCTGTAAGATCGGCACCTTGAGTACCTGGTTGTTGGGTAGTGTTATGCCAATTGCTAGTATTCCTATGACGATGGTGAACCAGCTTGGTTCCTTCACCATCCTGTACAAACTGGAGTCCACTCTTCCGTAGTCCTTTCTTGTTGTATTTTCCATATCCTGCAGACAAGTAACAACTCAGCAGTTCAGTCATCAGATCTGAGACAGCTGGTATTATACAATTTGGCTCATCTATGTGATTTAGCTTTAAGGAATAAATGAGGGCTGGAGAATAACTTTTTTATAAGAGCTATGTCATGGCACTTAATTAATGAAACTCTCTGTTCCTAGGTACCTGATACCCTGTAATCACATCATGTTCAGCCAAAGATGGGCTGTGAGGGAACGAGATTGGTATTCTGTATCTGCTGCTAGATTGCTTGCCTTGACTCCAGTGTGCTGCTCTAGTGGGATTACTCTGACTTTTGAGAAACAAGAAAAAGATTATATCCTGTGGAGGAAAAACATACACAGGGCAGGTAAATATTTCACCTGTTTTCTGAATGGACAAGTTGGCATCAGGCTGTTTTTCCTCTTTCGTTCCTCGTAGCGTATTCAGTGGCATTGAGTTCATGCTTATCATTAAGTTTCTTAATTTCTCCCATGTGTAACATTTGGCTAGATTCATATTCTACTGGACTAACGAAAGAACACACACACACCCTCCCTGCATCACATCCACGCCACGCACTTAAAGCAGCGTGAGGACTTTAGTGCAGAATTTCTGTTTTCCAGGCTAATGTTTCCTTCTCTCTTACACCAGTCTCATGAGATTTTGTGAAAACCTCTTTACTCTTATCAGCATTTGGACTGAAGAGCCGATTATTTACTACTACTAATACCTGTGTGTAGGATGCTAAGTTTCTGATTGCATGCACCATACACTGTTAGGTGTGGATTTCCTTGCCGCTAGTTAGAATCAGGAGGAGGAAGTTTCAGGAATAAATGTGTGTGTGCATGAACATGCAGACTGTTCGGGAAAATATAGAAAACTCTTCTGAAAGGCCTTTTTAAAAAGGGGTTTCTTTTATTTACAGTTTATAAACAGCAAGATCTGTTACGGACATCTTGACTGTATTTGCATTATTCACCCATAAGAGCATTCAGGATACTGTGAATGAAAGTAATTTAGATTGACACACCATGCAAATAGTATACAAGAACATACTGTAATCAAGGAGATATCTCCAATGTCCACTATAAGACGGTGGGTGGGGGAACACTTGTCTTTTCTTCCTACCTTATGTAAACAGTTGCTTTGCCATGTGGTGACTTTTAATATTCTGAGAGAACAGGAAAAGAGGTGCAAGTACAGTGGTACCTAGGTTTACAAACTTAATCCGGAAGTCCGTTCTTAAACTGAGGCGCGCTTTCCCTAATGAGGCCTCCCGCCGCCAGTGCCCTTCCACCATTCAGATTCTGTTCTTAGACTGAGGTAAAGTTTGTAAACCGGGACACTTCTTGCGGTTTTGCGGAGTTCGTAAACCGAATTGTTCATAAACAGGGCTGTTCTTAAACCGAGGTACCACTGTATCAGCAAGTGGTCCACATTACTACTGGGTTCACACTAGGAATGGATGGCTGTTGATTTCAGTTTCTCATTTTTCCCCAGCCTTAACTTCAGTTTGTCTCATTTCTGCATCAGTTTAGCAAGTCGAAAAGAATTCCTCATGAAAAACAATACACATTTGTGTGCATTTCTCGTTATATGTGCATTTACGCAAGCAATTTTCTCAATGCATTGTTGTCATTATTTTCACTAATACAAGCATTATTGTGCACACTCTCCAAAAATATATGCTTTTTGTAGACAATATTTGGTTTCAGAGCTGCCTTGCAAAATTTGGAGAATTGCAACTTTTGAAGCATAGCTCCATTTTTAGCGAGTGAGTTAGTATTAAAATGGAAACTGAGCAAATTTCCCCCCTATCCCCTGTTTGCACATGGGAAACCAGAGTTTCACACCCATGCTCAACTACATACCTCTCTAGGTACCTTTGTTCAAGCGGTTGTTTCTCAAACTAACCTGCCTCTTGTAGGTGGTTGTAACAGTAAACGCAGCTAAATATGTATTATAACACACTTGGAGTTTTTGAGATAGGAAATAAAATCTAAGTAAAGGGGAGCATTGCCCCTTCTTTCAAATCCATCAAAAGTAAAACCATTCCCTATTGGAAAGAAATGTCAACTATGCAACCTATTAAAACTTGAGTCGATTGCCCCAAACTTTTGTGTTTTGTCTACAAGAGCATCATAAATATCTTAGGACATCTTGGTCATAGGTCAGTTGAACAAATTTATTGGAAATTTGGTGGAAATTGCCTTTCCGGTGACCAGTGACATGATCTTTAACACTTCATTGTTTCTGTGTTTATGGCTGACAATTCAGTCAGATTGAGGAAGTATTGCAATACCAATGAAAAAATACACCTTTTTATTGTGTGTGTGTGTGGGGAGGGGGATTCATTGAACTTCTTGTTGCAAGGCAAACTGTTGTGCTAAATGTTTTAGAGCCATCCATAAAAATAAAGGACATTCCACACCACAGAGAAATCTATTACATTTTGCCAAATTCAGGCTTTCTCCACATTTGTTTGTCTGTTCTCTAAAAAAATTCAATCAGTTGGCTATTTTGTTGCTCAATACTGCCTGTTTGATTTGTAATACATGGAGCTTCTTTGAGTCATTTAAACTTCAGCTGGATCATTGCAGGAGGATTTTCCCTTGAGCTTATAATAAGAGCAAGATCTGAAATAGGAGTTCAGTAGTAGCATTCAGTAGAGTTCATTCAACCAGCTATGGTGAACTGATTTAGAAGAGGCTTGGCAAGTGACCTTGTTTCTTGGACCATTGAGAAGCACAAAACTCTGCCATTACGGACAGGACAGAGCAGTTTTCTCTCTACTGCATCTTGTGGAATCTGGCAGCCTGTAGGAGCAACATATCTCAACATTAATTTGCTTTGGAGAGTTTTGTTAAAATTGAGTGGGAGAGGCCCTTCCTTTTGCCCCACTTGCCAGGGACAGGATGTGAGTTTGCAGTAGTTGCATAAATCACTCTTCTGCACTGTTGCAGCTTGTTAACTGATAGTGTTTTGCTGTTCAGGATCTTACTTCCAAGTTTTAAGGACCATTGAACTAGTCTGCATAAAACAGGGACTATCTAGTCTAGGGAAACTGGCAAATCTTCTTCCTTTGGTCTAATCTAAATAGCCACATCTCTCTCTGTAAATTTGCCTGCTTGTGGAATAGTGCTATTTACTCATGTGCCACGTAACTATGATAGCTGTGTAACCAAGGTATAAGTTACAAGCATATTCACAGGATCTTTCTATGTTTGTGTTGCTGTTCGACACCCTAACTGTGTCTCCCTGCTATTCCATTCCAGGTACAACTGAAGAGTCCAGCAGCAGAGGTACTGCAGACTCCACATGTATTGTGGAATATGGGAAGACTGTTGATATCAGTTACCTGCAGTACCTTTGGGATGCTCAATCCCTCATACTCCACTGTATGAAAGACTGCCAGGTTTGGTCTGCTCCATATGATGGTGAAAGCCCTGATCCACGTACCTTTATCCAAACCCTAGCTGACGAGGATGGTAAAAACCTAGACCAGCCCATTTTCCGATTTCAGCACAGAACACCTAGTAATACAAGTTCCTCTCAGATGACTCCTTTGGGAGAAAAGTTGCAGCTGGAGCTGGAATGGGATGATAGCTATGATACAGGGATCTCTCCTGGATCTGATTCGGGCTCTCCACAGCATGATAATGCTCTAGGCAATGTAGAGCCACAACCACCTGCAGCGCCGCCAAAGCATATTCAGGAAATGAAGAAAAATGCAATCATGCTGATCAAAGGGTCATATATAGAAGAATCAGACTTTCAGGATGATGTCATGGTTTATAGGTTATGTGCTGAAAAGGATGCTCAGGAAGCAGACAAGGAAGCTTCGGTGTCAGAATCTCAAAGCACAGATGATCGGCAGTCGCTCCCTGCCAATGGTCCCCTTAAAAGTCCCCAGACAGACTCCAGTTTGGAGGAACACAATATGAAAAATTCAAACTTGACCCAGCACGCAACAGTCAAACAAATCCATGACAGCGTTGCTGAAACCCCGCAGCCAGACTTGGAACTGAAGCTGTCTTGCCTAGAAGAAGACCACAATGCTAACACGAGCTTGCTGAGCCCCGAAAGTGAGGATTTTATTTCCCAGTGTGATAACATCATTAAGGAGTTGGATTCTACCCCTACAGAGTTGGTAGAGCTTAAATTGCTTATTCCTGAACCAATCTCTCCCGTGGAAGAGGAAGAAGACTTTGAAAATTTTTCAGCCGACACACCATCAGCAGAAAGTATGCCTTCACCTTTTGGACCAAAAGATGTATGGTCCGGCAATCCAGCAAGGACCCAGAGCATCCCATTTACAGGTGAAATTTTCTAATCAAGTCACTTAAAACTCTTTTAAACAATAATGTTCTTGGTGGGGGAGAGGGCTATGTGAATAAGAGACTTATTGGTTATGTTGACATTGAATATTAAGTGTAGATATATTCTTGGCTTGGATTTCATACCAATGAAATCGAAGTAGACCAATATACTTCTCAATATATCCTGTACAGAAATTCTCTGATAGCAGCATAATTCTAGAAAATATCCCTACATAGTTTAGGAAAAGGGATAATCAAACTTTCACAGCAGGCACTACTAAAGAGCAATTGCCACAAAAAGATTTGACAATAGCTATTATTTCTAGTCCATCTCGTCCTCTGTCTAGGGGACGACAGAGGATGAGATGGTTGGACAGTATAAGACAGGAGTGCCTGGCATGCTCTGGTCCATGGGGTCACGAAGAGTCAGACACGACTAAATGACTAAACAACAACAATTATTTTTGGTAAGACAAAACAACAACACCTTGTTTATTCACTGTAAAATTAAAGTTGCAAATGTCTTAGTCACTTCTGATCACTAGATGGCAGCTCTGCCGCCATTCTGTGCATCTGCCCCATTTTACCTGCACGTTGAGACATTTTGCTCCCTACCAATTGTGAAACGCTTAGCACTGCTGAATTGAATTCATCCTGTTTTCAATATCACACTTCCCTAAAAGGATTTTATTGTAATGATGTTAGCAGGACACATTGTATTTGGGCTTAAAAACACTTTGGTATTTATTTAACTTTGGTAGCTCTTGGAACACAATCTGTTCTGAATTATCTCAGCTCCTCTGAATGACATGATATGAATATTCACCCTATTGGGGGGACGGAAATGATGGTGGTAAAATGGCTGGGAAATTTCAAATAATGTGCTCATAATGACAAAAGCAAATAACTAAAGCAAACTTCCATTTATTGTTACTTACTAATTTAAAATTGTATTTTTTCAGCACTTTTCTGTTCCCATAAGGATCCAGGCAATACAACATAACTGAGAAATTGTCCAGATAATGCTTTTCAGGGAAAGGGTGGGGAAGAAGAGAATGTTAAATATGGCTACATGTCACATAACTCCATCGATCAATTAAACTGAGTAATGCAATTGAATAAGCATATTGCTATCAGATTTATTATTCTGGTCTGGAAATAATTTCCTTTCCACTGGTGCAGCTGTCTGGCCACTGTGAAAAATAATCAGCTTAGCGAAAAAACTTCATAAATAGTTGGGTTTGTGTTTCTAAAAGACCAGGAGCTTTGTGGCTTCTGAACAGTAGCAGTTGGTGGTAACTTTGATATTCCAAAACCCACATGGGTCAGTCAAATTAAGAAAAGTTAACATTTCACATTACTGCTGTATTAATACATCCGCAGCTCTTTGAGTGGCATCTTCCTTCTCAGTCGCCCAGCTGGCATGTAACAGTAAACCATATTTTAACATTACTAGGATGAGCTGCAGTAAGCCTTGGGCCTCCTGGCTTGTTTTCCCGTTTATGTAAAGGAAGGAGCTGCATGTAAATGCAGAGAGCTTGTCTATATTCTGGTTTGTTAAACCGCAATTTTATCATCAAAACATAGCCAGCATAAAGAATTCTGTTAATTCCTCCTTTCCCATAGGATTGTAGCCCTGAAACATAGTTTCTGTGTCAAGGAATAAGAAGATTTCTTTTGTTCAGAACTCAAGGTGGACAATGAACCGATCTTTGTATGTGGTACAAATGTTTTGTGTTCGTTGAGAAAAAAATAGCATGCGCTCCTTCTAATAATTTATTGCGATTCAAATCCCAACTCATTCATCCACCGTCAAGGACACAATCAGTATTTTAGTAATGGGAATGTAATGTGGCAAATAAAACTTTTATTATGAATAGGACCCCAATTAGTTTTATGTCTGCCTGCACGGTGAGTTTTGTATAACATCATTAATTTTGATCTAATTAGTCCGTGATACTCCTCTTGCAAAGCTTGTAAACCTCCACTTGTCACCTGAGATTCTTCATCTAACAAGATGCTTGAAGCTAGCTTAGTGATGACAGGGCCATTTATATGTACCATGGTTAAGTCTCTGGAAGCAACTCATCGTGCAGCAAGAACCCTTTTGCAACTAAAGCTGTTTATGTATTTCCAGAATAGTTTACCATTCAATATCTTCCACCCCCATACTTTTCTTTTAATCTCTTGCGTAGCTTTTGCTCTTGGATCATGTCGGCAGTAATCATCAGCGCCTGAAAAAGATTGTTCCAGTAGGACAAGGGAATTAAATAAGAAGAAGCTCACAGGACAGGTCCATAATTATTAAGAACTGCAAGATTGCATGGGAGAACATGCAGTGGTTGCAAGCAATCCTATTGCTAGTCTCTCCCAGCTCTACCTGGAGACGTCAGGGATTGAACATGGGACCTTATGTATGTGCTCGCCCTCTGAGTCACAGCCTTTCACATAATAGCTCAGTTGGTTAGAGCGTGGTGCTGATAATACCAAGGTTGTAGGTTCAAAACGGGACGCGGGTGGCGCTGTGGGTAAAAGCCTCAGCGCCTAGGGCTTGCCGATCGAAAGGTCGGCAGTTCGAATCCCCGTGGCGGGGTGAGCTTCCGTCGTTCGGTCCCAGCTCCTGCCCACCTAGCAGTTCGAAAGCACCCCCGGGTGCAAGTAGATAAATAGGGACCGCTTACTAGCGGGAAGGTAAACGGCGTTTCCGTGTGCGGCTCTGGCTCGCCAGAGCAGCGATGTCACGCTGGCCACGTAACCTGGAAGTGTCTCCGGACAGCGCTGGCCCCCGGCCTCTTGAGTGAGATGGGTGCACAACCCCAGAGTCTGGCAAGACTGGCCCGTACGGGCAGGGGTACCTTTACCTTTACCTTTTAGGTTCAAAACCCCGTATGGGAAAGCTGCATATTTCTACTTTGCAGGAGGTTGGACCAGATGATTCTCAGTGTCCCTTCCAACTCTACAGTTCTATGGTTCCTGTGCATTGTGCATATAGCAACATGGCTATGCTAAACAAAAGGTGTTGAGTTTTTAATACCCTTCCTTGGCAACGCAAACTTTTCTTGGCGCAGCAGAGGTTAAAAGGTCACAGTCCTCTCTGATGGACTTCCTGGATTTTAACTGCCGTGTAGGAAGGCTGAGAAACCTGATTCCAATGCTATGCTGCATAGTGGCATCTTAGGCATGGCAAGTGGGGCAGCGATGTCCAGCTGTGCCCTGCTTGCCATTTCAAACCCTTTTATATCAATTAATTGGTCAAGCCTCTATGAAGTAGACACTGTGAAATGCCAGAGCTCCAAGACCATGCTAAAATAGCACGAGGCTGTCACTGTCTGTACTCCCTCCTAAGCTTAGGAAAAGGATATGTGTAAGAATGCCATTGTGCAATTCCTGGGCTGGGTGCTGGTGGTAGTTGTGTCCTCCCGAGCGAGGGGTGGGGGAGTTCTATGTTTAGAGCAGTGCAGCCTTGCATTAGTGCAGCCCATCATAGCATTGCTATGTGTGGCTGATCTCCAAGTCAAAATTCCCTTGTTTCCACAGCAGGGAGCAGGTAGAGGAGACAGGAAGTGCCCATTGTGCTGGGTTGAAAACAGGGCAAAATTCCCTTCCTGAACCCCTCCCTCTTGGCAGGTCATGTCAAGCTGCAGGGAGAGAGAAGAAAGGAGGAGGGAGACTCTACTTTCTCTGAAGCATGTCAGGCTAGGCCAATGTAGCCCATGGGAAATGTAGGGCTACTTGACATTGAGTTAGCCCTGTAGAAACTGCCGTCCCCAGGGGGCAGCTGCTGGAGAAGAGAAGGAAGTCCTCTGTGGCTTGCTGGAGCGAGAGGGCTGCTGCCAGTCAGCCCAATAAGTGGAATGGGAGTAAATGAAGAAGGCTGAATGGGTGGGAAGGAGAGGATTTTAACCAGGGGGCTATTTGAAAGGGAAAATAAGCAATACTTCTTAAGTATTTTTGGGAGAAGGAGCTTGGCTTATTTCTGTGGAAGTCTGATGCAAGCAGATGGGCCATTGTTGGACTCCACTACAGCCTGCCCTGGTAGCACTACAACCAGCACAAAATGAGCTTACCCAAAGGCCCAAATGGGCTGGAAAACAATGCTTCTTATCATTACAGCACCTTTCCTTTCTTCAGTATTATGTTCTTTTAGCAATTAATCGCTTGTGTGTGTGTGTGTGTTTTTAAAACTGCAGGTCCATTTATCAGTGTGGTGCTCTCAAAGCTGGAAAACATGTTGGAGAACTCCTTGCATGTCAACTTGCTGCTCATTGGCATTGTCACTCATCTGGCAAGTTACCCACAGCCCCTCCTTCGTTCCTTTCTGCTCAATACCAACATGGTGTTCCAGCCTAGTGTGCGGTCATTGTACCAGGTACTTCATGATTGTCTGACAGAAGTCCTAATATGGTTGAAGATATAATTTGTTGTTAAACATTCTCAGTATATAGTGCCATCATTATGCATGAATGCTAGAATGACAGAATGACATAAGCAACAGCAAGGTCCTTGCTCCAAGGAGTTTATAGTCGTCCTTCTAAGAGGAAAAGGGAATAAGGAATGAATGCAAGCAAACGTGGTTGGGTTTTAGCGTCAGTTTGTTCTACACTTTATATCCCTGCGTATTTGCAGCTTAGGGATGCGAGTAGCGCTGTGGGTTAAACCACAGAGCCTAGGACTTGCTGATCAGAAGGCCGGCGGTTCGAATCCCCTCGATGGGGTGAGCTCCTATTGCTCGGTCCCTGCTCCTGCCCACCTAGCAGTTCGAAAGCACGTCAAAGTGCAAGTAGATAAATAGGTACCGCTCCGGCAGGAAGGTAAACAGCGTTTCCGTGCGCTGCTCTGGTTCGCCAGAAGTGGCTTAGTCCTGCTGGCCACATAACCCAGAAGCTGTACGCTGGCTCCCTCGGCCAATAAAGTGAGATGAGCGTCGCAACCCCAGAGTCATCCGCGACTGGACCTAATGGTCAGGGGTCCCTTTACCTTTATTTGCAGCTTAACTCTAATTGGGCCTCACTCCACAAGGCTGCAATGAGAAATCTAGAGATCTCCCTTGTGAATTTCCATTGTTTCTAATCACACTTCAATAGAATAAGACTCCCTGTGCCACCCCCTCCTTTAAAAACAAAGAATTGCAAAATACTTTACCCTGATCTTTTTCTTTAGTTGCCACTGAATGGTGCCTTAAAGTTGATGCGTTAATAATGCTGTTGGGCAGAGCTTGGCACCACAGCTGCCTTTAATGTGATTTTGAGAGCATGGGACACAGTAAACAGATGATTTGGGACACAACTCAAATGACAATATAAAGATTTATTGCTGCTATTGTTTTGGCAGGTGCTGGCATCTGTGAAAAACAAAATTGAGCAGTTTGCTTCCATTGAAAAGGACTTCCCTGGACTACTCATAGAAGCCCAGCAATACCTGCTTTTACGGGTGGACATGTCAGATATTCCTCTGGAGTCATTGACTAAAGGCAAGTAACTACTATTCTTAAAAGCATAAAATTATTTTTTAAAAAACATGTATTACTACCTATTACTTATTTTTAACAAGATCTCAAATTAGTAAGATGTTCACTATGTTTATGTTCCTATGAAAGCATGTTTTGGGTTTGCTTTAACTATGTGGTAGTCTTAATATATTGGGATTAAATACAATATATTAGTTTAGATACAGAAGGTTGGAATATTTTGTGTGTTTGCTTCACTATGTGGTCGCACCACTGGGTGTATGGGTCACTCCACACTGGGCCCTGGGGTGCCTGAGCTGAGCCCTTCAGGAAGATCTATGGTACAGTATCAAAGGTGTCTGCAGAACTATCCTATAATGAGAGACCTGGGTAAGGACATACATAAAGGCTGTGGTTGCTATCTTGTAGAAGCAGGGTGAAGCAACAATCTTGCCTTGTCTGCAAGAGCAAAATCTAGATACCCTGCTAAGTTTATAGGAACAGAAGAATTTGCCTAATATATATTAGGGCAGACTTAGTTTCATATATAGCTTAGTATTGTCTACTCTGGCAGCAGCTCCCCAGTATCTGGGACAGATGTATTCCCCATCCCCTGCTATCTTATCCTTTTAACTGGTGATGCCATTGATTACACTCGGAATCTCCTGCACAGAAAGCCTGCGCTGTACATTGGAGGTGTGTTCTCTTCCCCTTCCTCATCTCCTCCTCCTCCAAGCAGCTGTGGGCAATGTACCTGGTTGTCTTGGTTTATCCTCATTACAAGGCACCAAGGTAGGGTAGGTTGAGATAGAGAACTTGCCCAGGTTGACCCAGTTATCTCTATGACAACGGACCCCACTCCCTTAAAATATCTCTGTAAGGGCACGGCTGCTTTTCACTATAACTTCTAACTCCTGAAGGGAGTAACCATGTTTTCTTCTTTTCAGGACTAGCAGAAGGGTAACTGGTAATATGTGTGTGAGTTGTTTTATTTTTAGAATGACCATGTGATGGGGAGTGTGGTTGCAAATATTCATTTAGGAATCCTAATAGGGGGGGGGGGAACCTCTGCAGTTTATGCATTGTCGTGAGAGATGAGCATGTCCAACATTTCATGAATGTGCTCTCTCAAGTGGAGTTGACCATGTTAAAAATAAATCCTTCCATAACTCCCTGGGGGTGAGGGGAGGAGTTGTTTGGTCTTATCATGCGGAACAGCTTCCCCATCTGCAGCTGCCTCCTGAATATATTACCACCGGTTCTCATGCGTTAGCCAGTCAATTTTTATTACTGCGACCGAAGCACAAGCAGGGTCATGCGTAGTAAAGTGTATTACCTGTGACTGAGAAAGGTATGCACATTTTCTGTTATTCTGTCTCCAGACCTTCTTGCAGAGAATTCCCAGGTTGCCTGCTTACAACCATGCAGTCTTGGAGATTTTTTTTTTTTTTGCACAAAAGCTGTTTAAAAGGAAACTTGGGAGATAAAACTATCCATGTGCACTAGAGGTCACTTCCTTTAAACAGCTCTTGTACCAAATCTCCAAACTGCTTCTTAAATTTGGGACTTTGAGTTCCTTGTCACCCAGTTATTAGTGTGCTGAATGAGTAGCTCTATTTGTCGTACTAGGATTTGGATGTCACCTGTCAAGGTAGAGCTGTTGCCACAGAGATATCAGATTTTCCTAACTAACATAAACCCATAGGCTTCAGGGGGTCTGTACTAAGCATGGCAAAGTCTGGAAACAAGCCATGCTGATTGAAAGAAAAGCCTTTGCTTATTTGTTTGAGGGGGTCACCAAACTATTCAAATAGGGACGGTGAGGTCCCTTGCAAAAGTACTGCAGAGCAGCAGCCAGCAGTTATGGGATAAGAAGCGATATCTGTTTATGGATTGTTAAGCAAAGGGTAGGAATCAACAGAAAGTTCTCAAAGTGAAGGGAAGTAAACAGCAGAGGCTCCTCAAGGATTGTTGGAACTGGTGCAATTTTACTTATTCACAAAGATGCATAGTCAGAGGTGATGATGACAGTCACAGTTTCTTGCCTACCCCAAATTAATCAGGATGGTGACATCCCAAGCAGTGTTTGAAGAGCTCTCTATAAAGAATGTTCTTGTGTTGGAGGAGGTTTTTTTAATTGAGATGAAAGATGACCAAGAGGAAGCAAGTCACAGGTTTACAAAACTATGAAAAATGTGGGGAAAGGGTATCTCTCCTCTTCCTACACCTCACTGATGATGTGTGCTTGGTTATAGGTTGATGATAAACAAATCAAAGCACTACTTCACACAGCATTCAGTGACCATCACAAGCTGATGTGGTATAATGACCACCAACAGATGTGGTGGTTGATTGCTCTTAGACCAATGCATAGATAATAGGTTTGGCAGCCATGCCTAAATGGAACCTCTGTCTTCAGAGACAATATACCTCTGTTTCCTGAATCATCTGGAAGTAATGTGGATGTTCTGTAGACTGAAGTTGGTCTGTGTTCTGCTTTCATAATTAAATTCCTGCCCCTTCCCCCCAGCCCTGGTTCTTATCTTGCTAGAATCACTGTATCAGAGCACTGTTCTTATGGGTATAAATTTTCATTAGAAGCTATGTTCAGGGGGTAATGGGGAAATGTGCAGAATCTGATGAGCACAGTAACCATAGTGACTAATTGCTTACCAGTAGTATGTGTAAAGAAGTCACTTATTTTGGGAAGTAAAATCCTTGCCTTTCTGCTTGATTTAATTTGAAGCATTTCAGTAGTGCTGTGGGAAGCAGCAGAGGCCAATGTCTCCTCCCCCTCCCTTTGAGGGTTCATCTTAACGTAGCTCCATTTATAATTGACATACTGACATCTTCCAATATACTATGGAGCTTGCAAGATCATTGCCTGCTTCTTAATGTATTATTATCCTATCATGGGGGTGTGCAGTAAATAAGATGCTTAGTAGAGGTCATAGGATTTGGGAAGCTGTTTCAGATAACTACTACAGAAAAGCTTGCTGCTGTGAGGCACTGTAGCTTGAGCTATGGATTTTGGGTTTGAAACCCAACCTCCAGTGACTGGGATCAACAGTTGCTTAGGTTCCTGCCTATGGCTTCCATTATGGCTGACTCCTAGGTTATATCATAAACTGCATTTGAATCAGGCCTAGGTTTCAAAATGAGACTTCATGGGGGCATGAGGAATGCTTTTAAAGGGGAAAAACAAGCCTCAAACTCCCTTGAGGCCATAGAATTATATTTATGTTTCCTTTGGATCCTGGCTCCCGTTTTAGGTCTTCCCTTAGGGCTCACTATGAGATATTTTCCTATCGTATTCTTAACGTGACTTCATCTATCCAAAACACTTATTCATGCTGTGTGAACAAGTCCCAATATTCAGTGAATATTATTATAGTTTGGTTCATATTATTTAGTTCTTCATCTCTCCTCTCTCTCTCTCTCTCTCTCTCACACACACACCCACACCCACACCCACACACCACCTTTATTATTAAAAAAATTGGATTGATCGTTTGCAAAGATGTTGCACATTTTTTTCATAAATCTGAACACAGGCTACAGTCACTGCCTGTGCTGCTCCCCCCCCCCACAACATGCACAACCATATTAAGGCTTATAGAATAAACAAATGCCTGGATAGCTGCAAGTTTGGCGCTTAGTCAAGCTCATAATGTCAGCAATCAAATTGCAGTGCCTGCAGCCAGTTGTCCATCAACTTGTATCATTATGTCAATTAGGGAATATAAGGTAGAAATGGCCTGTGGTAATGGTATATACAAGACTATTTGAACTGTGCCTAGGTTATGGCGGAATGCTCAGATCCAATTTTACCAATAAAATGAACACTTTTCTTCCTGGAGCTGTAAAGTAAATGTGGTTTGTATATGTATATGGGGAATTTTTTTGGCACCACCTTACATTTTGAATACCGACGGATTTATATTCAGCCTTAATGACGATGATTTTGTTTAAGATTAGAGCATACAGAAAACATGTGCGTAGGAAATGTATTTACTGGAGACTAGAAAGCTATATTGTAAGGTGTAAAGGTAAAGGACCCCTGGGCAGTTAAGTCCAGTCAAGGTTGACTATGAGGTGTGGCGCTCATCTTGCTTCAGGCCGAAGAAGCCGTCGCTTGTCCACAGACAGCCTTCCGGGCCTCGGTCCTGTATACCTGAAGGAGCGTCTCCACCCCTATCGTCCAGCCCCGACACGGAGGTCCAGCACCGAGGGCCTTCTGGCGGTTCCCTTGCTGCGAGAAGTGAGGTTACAGGGAACCAGGCAAAGGGCCTTCTCAGTAGTGGCGCATGCCCTATGGAAGCCCTCCCAGCAGATGTCAAGGCAATATTTTCCTTTTAACAGACAACTGAAGGTGGCCCTGTTTAGGGAAGTTTTTAATATTTGATGCTGTATTGTTTTTAATATTCGGTGGAAGCCGCCCAGGTTGGCTGGGGAAACTCAGCCAGATGGGCGGGGTATAAATATTATTATTATATTATATTATATTATATTATATTATTTATTATATTATTATTCTGGGTCATGTGGCCAGTCTGACTAAACTGCTTCTGGCACAACAGAACACCGTGACATGTGCCAGAGCACACAAAAAACCAGAATTCAGAGACTACCAGTCCTGGTTCTCTATTGGTGGAATGAGAATACTTACGACTGAACTTCCTAGGGTGGTTGTGTGGGTGAAAGAAAATGAGAATTGTAAAGCACCTGGCAGATTTTGAAAGTGCTATAGGAATTATTTAAAACTGATTCTGGGCTAGAGTTCCATGTACTAAACTTGGGTTGCAATTGTCTTTATCACTTTTGCACCAAAACAAATTTGTTTTTCTCTTTCTCCTTTTCAGACAATGCACAGCACAACCATGCTTTGGGGAAAGGCAGAAACGTTTCTGAGGCTTCCCAGGTCATCCTGCAACCTTTCTTTGGAAGCAAGGCAAAGAAAGGAACGGCTCTTCCCAGCGCCCCCCTGCACATCCGGAATGCCATCCTGGCAGCTGCCCTCTTCCCAGAGTTTCTCAAGGAGTTGGCTGCTCTTGCACAGGAACACTCCATACTCTGTTACAAAGTATTTGGTGACTTTGAGAATTTTTATTAGGTTTAAGACTTTTTTTAAAAAAAGGATGTTTTAATTTAAAAAAAAAAACCACAGAGAGCTACTTATAAAGGAAAATTCTACTTTATGTTCCTGGTAATACTTGATTGGGAGAAACTGTTACACCTTTATGTTGGGCCTTATTTCCTACTGTGCAGCATAGACACTTGATGTATTAATGGAACGATTTCTTATTCTACCATATTCCCACCCTTCAACTTCCTTACCTCGAGATCCCTTCTCTGCTATAGACACTTTTGGTTAAAAAGGCACAATTGTGTAACCAGCTGAAAGGTGATTTGCTTTTGTGGGTTGTTGTTTTTTCTATCTAGGAAAGTTGGTTGCTTTGTAAGAGTGCTTACCAGGATGAGCATGTCAAATCTGATAAGCCTTTTATGCAAATAACATTTTAGGTATCTATTTGCCAGGGGAGGGTCACAATTCCTTCCCTACTCTCAGCATTGTGAGTGGCTGGAGTTGTGAATCCAAATGGATTCAACAAATATAAGCCTGCGACTTGCTAAAAGCAGGTGCTGTGCTGAATACATACCATATTGCCTTACACTGTGGACAAGTCTGACACTCTCAGCTGTTGATTCCTTTGAAGTTTAAATGAAATGAGTAAATGGATGTTGAGTGCAGACTGTATGGAATTCCCTCCTCCCCCCCTGGCCATTTCTCAGCATTCTTTGAAAATGCTAGATCTCTACCTAAACTAAACGCTCAAGCCTTAAATTTTAGTAATATTTGCACACAATGAAATGTTTCTATGCAAACCGTAGCCTTTTTTGGTAGACCATATTTGTACACTTTTATTGATAAGCTGAACACAAATACTCCAGTTATTGTTTGAGTAGTGTTAAAAGGTTACCTTCATCTGGGAGTTGTTACTATCTATTTTTAAGTACTATTTTTTTAAACAAAATTGAAAAAAATAGCCTGCCTTTATAAGCTGTGTTTTTCTTTTCTTTTTAGCTTAAAATGTTATTTTGGTTCAAGGAAAGCTTTGTGGTATTGTAAAACACTAGCTGTTTATTTATGATGTATGTTGACTTGTCCTAACATTGCACTTTTGAAGGATGGCAGAAATGTTTTGCTCCCTGGTAGTAGCGTAGAGGATGTTACTTGGGACAGATACACTAGAACCTGTTGCAGCTGCTGTCCAATAGCTGAAGAAAATTTTCTTTTGTGAGTAATGAGACTCATTAGAACGGGTCCAAACATGATGAATTGCTGCATTACAGCTGCATTTCAGTTTGTGCTAGTAAGAGTAATTGTTCCTCCAGTGCTGAAGTTGGCTTTGTGTTAATAGTGGCTCTGTGCTTGAAAGCCTTCATTTTCTTTTACAGTAGGTGAATATGACAAACAGCTCCAAAACCAATGAAAACAGTATCTGAAGACAAGACTTTGCTCCTCTTTGTAAATTCCACATTGAGGTACTAACAGTAGCAGTTGGGGTTTGCATGTTCTATGCTAGAACATAGCACCTGAGCAAATGGGAATTTCACAGACATCTTTCGGGAGGGTTGCCTAAAATGGTGTGTATATTTGTTTAGAAGTGCAATAATGGCAAGAGAGGGATTTCAGTGTCCCCATTTCTTGCTCCACTGGTCTACTGTGACTGGGTCCATTTGCTTAGTCTCCTCTCCCACCATCATCCATGGGCGGATTTAGAATTCTGCAGGCCATAGAAATCAAAGAGGACAGAGCTTCTTCCTTTAGCTTCTCAAAGCATTGCAAGCTGTAAAAATCTTATGCAGGGAAGGATCTGCCAGTCCTGTTACTTGGCCCGTTCCCCATGTCTGGTGACATCTTCCTAAAAAATAAAATGATCTCATAATTCTAGTCCTGCTACCTTCTCTGTGGGAAGCGATCCATCCTTTTGATTGACTGATTAATTGTGTATGTGTTAACTGTAGCATAATTTTTAAAACTGCTCTGAAAAGACATTGTATTTTCATGCTCTTATTTAAAGTTAAGATAGGTGAGGTTTTTTAAATAACGTGGGTGTGCTAATCACATAAAATGTGATTATATTTGCTGCATTTGAAAATCAGACATTTCAGACGTTGGACATTTGAAAACCAGCAAGGCTACCATAGTATGGACTATGTAGTAGTTTCATGAAATTTTGACAGCTTGTTGCTGAAAGGGAGCAATCGTGCACACAACCTCGTAATGTTTAGGCTTGGTTCAAGGGTTAACAGAGCATTTAATAGTGGTATAGAAAAGTATAACAGATTACTTTGTTAGAAACTATTCATCTTTTGTTTGAATCATGATTACAGCAGGAAGGGCAGATTCCACTTGTTGGTCAGTCAGTGAAATGTAGGCCCAGGATATGGCATCTTATATTAATCGGGGAAGGGCCATAGTTCAGTGGCGGAACATGTGCTTTCCATGAAAAAGGTCTCAGCATCAATCCCTGGCATCTCCAGGTAAGACTGGGAAAGATTCCTGTCTTAAACTCTGCTACTAAGTCAAGTTGCCCTCAAGCCGTTCACTAATCTTCTGAGCTACATTCAGTGGAGATACTTTGTGCCTCTCTTATCTAAGCCACTGTTAACATTTGTGAAGTTAGGTTCTTGCTGAGAGTAGAGAGGGGATATTTTGTCTCTGTGGATTTTAATAAAATTTAAAAATATGAATTGGAGAATTACTATACACAGTCTTTACAGTGACTTTTTGGAGGGTTAGTAATAGAAAACCACAGAATGATATACACAAATAAGTAAAAAAGACAGCTACAAATTGCTGGTAAGCTTGATGATCCTTGACACATAGGAGTACAAAATACAAAGACTTTGCTATTTTGGCTTGTTTCATGTCAAAAGGCACCCAAATCTTTTTTTAAAAAACAACAACCACCCCTCCAAACATCTCTGAAATTGAGTGCTGCAGTCTTCTGGTGTAATTATCCGAGCCATGATTATAGCACTAATTCAAGCTGTAGTGTTGTAATTATTCCTATATAAATGCCATCTCAGGGAAAGTGAAAATTGCATCTTGCTTAATGTGGCTTTGGATTGCTTTGCATAAGTAAGCTATTTGGAATAATTTAGTGATGGGTACTAGCCCAAAAAGGCATTTAGAAAGCAAGCTAGCCCTAAAATACTTCTGCAGCAGGAATAGTTAACAGCTTTCCTTAAGTCAGCTCAAATTAAGCATTTTGCTGATTTGACTACCATTCTACTAGGGTTTGTTGTGCATCTGTTAAAGTGACTGGATCTTTGTGGCCATTGATTTAACACTCACATTAGGCCTCTGTGTTCAGGCTTGGCTTTAAAAAAACACCACCACTTTTGGTTTTAAGTAGAATATATTCCATTGCCCTGTCTCTACAGTTCTCTCTATGCATCTGATGGAGTACATTCTTCCCACAATTGACAGCTCATGCCACCGTCACGTTATCTGTCGTTAAGGTGCCACAGCTACTCTAATTAGTTGGACTATGTGAAAACTGACTTTTTTAAACAGTGACAAATTCTACTCCTTGCAGAATACAGGAATGTTAACCCAAAGATGCTGTATGCAGAGAAACTATTTTTTTTAAATCATTCTTTGATTTTCCAAGAGCAGTTTGGGTGCTTTTTAATCAAACATAGATTTACCAAGCTAAATGTTGTCCAATCACAAAATCAATAGCAGATTTGATTTTTTTTCACACCCAAAAACATATTTTTAAGACTCCTCACTGAAGAAATTTGCAAAAATTAAGTTTCATCCCCTAAAATGACACACCCTACTGCTTCTCAGCAATCTTACAATATTAAAGGAGGAAAAAATTTAAGTCTCTAATGTGCTTCCTGCATTTGCACCAAGATTAGTGTGTGGCATACTATGGCCTAGCTGCTGCTACAACGTATTTTTTATATACTTATAATATTCTTTACACACCTTATCTCCTTAATTGTAGAAAATGAGGAGGACTGTACTCTCAATTTTTGTGGGTTTCATTTGTGTGTTTTCTTCCAGCTTATTTATTTGCAGCACAAAAAGACTTTAATACAATGAATCTGAATTCAGTTGTCTTTAGTTTCTCTATTCTAAGCACTTTAAAGACATTTCCCTACACCACAAAGCAACTTATGAATATACTGCTCCTCAACCTGCTGCTACATCAACTACTGTTCTCTAGAGCAGGCATCCTCAACCTTGGGCCTCCAGATGTTTTTGGCCTACAACTCCCATGATCCCTAGCTAGCAGGACCAGTGGCCAGGAATGATGGGAACTGTAGTCTCAAAACATCTGGAGGCCCAAGGTTGAGGAAGCCTGCTCTAGAGTCTCCCTGTTGCATAGGTTCAAACATATTTGGATGTATCCTTTCACAGTTCTCTGCATCCCACTCTCCAATTAATGATTTCAACAAAACAAAATACATTCTCAACACCACCTATGGTCCATGCCTATTCCTGACAAGAGGTCATGCAAAATATAGTAGGTTGTTTACAGACTTTTAGGGTAAGGCTGAAGTTATCACAAGACAGCTATATGTTTTCTTCTCTTTGCCTCTTCATTACAAGGCAAATTATAGCATTTCACCCCAGTTGCAATTCCTATGTCATCTTTCAAGGGCAGCCTTGCATCCAACATATTACTGTGGCAAGCTCTCATGCCTCTAAAAGGGGACAGAGCTTACACAGCTAAGAAAATGTATTCCTGGATACTCACACTTTGTCCAGGAGAACTGTCAGGCTCCAAACCTGTTCACCTTTAAAAACAAACAGGACAGTGATCAAGATTGGTGGGATTACTCCTTCTTGTCTTGACTCAATGTCAGTTTTTCATCCACTTGCTGCTGCTTCCAGAATAAAAGGACAATTTGTGGATACCTAGTTAATAAAATGTAGAGCTGGATGCTTCTAATTCATTGATAAAAAGTTAAAGTTACCCCGACCGTTAGTTGCGGACGACTCTGGGGTTGTGCGCTCATCTCGCTCTATAGGCCGAGTGAGCCAGTGTTTGTCCAGCAGACAGCTTCCAGGTCATGTGGCCAGCATGACTAAGCCGCTTCTGGTGAACCAGAGCAGCGCACGGAAACGCCGTTTACCTTCCCGCTGGAGCAGTATTTATTTATCTACTTGCACTTTGGCGTGCCTTTGAACTGCTAGGTGGGCAGGAACTGGGACCGAGCAACGGGAGCTCACCCCATTGCGGGGATTTGAACCGCCAACCTTCTGATCAGCAAGCCCTAGGCTTTGTGGTTTAGACCACAGCGTCACCCGAGTCCCTCTAATTCATTGATACTATACTTAAATTTGGGTTGATTTTCTCCAGAAACTATGCAACGTTAAACTGCAATGTCAATAAACCAGAGCCTTTCAGAACACTTCAGGTCAGTTTCTTATAGTACTGAAGTAGTCTTTCTACTAACTTACTGTTGACTTAGGTGAGATAGAAAAGATACAAGCCATTAGAGTCTTGTCTAGAGTCCCCTAGCTATAATTTAATCTATGATATTAGAGCTGCAGAGAGTACCAACTCAATCATCAGTGAGATAGTTATCTTTGTTAATTTCAGAAGCAGATTACCCATTAAGTTCACTAATACCACCTTCACAGTAATGAGTCCCACAGCTAGGCCACAATTTGCAGGGGAAGAAGTTTAGTGAGGATACTATATCCAAGCATGTTTGCTCAGCTATCGCTTAAGTAGCTTTTCTAAAAAGGGGAGGCTGAATATTAGTCTTTAACTAAGAATAATACAGCCAATTATACACACCTGTATCCCCTGTCTCCTTTCTGGGGAAGTTAGCTGCATGTTTAGTTATACAGGAATAAGTGCTACAAATTATTATTTCTTTTATTACTGATGGAAAAGTAGCATCCTTCTGAAGAACCCATTTATGATAGAGGATTGTTTCCCTCAAGAATTAATGCTGTTAAATGACCTTTGCTAAAATCCACTTCTGCTAGACTTGACAAGGCATAATGTATGCACATCATGCAGGCACATCATGCCTATGCTAACTTTCCAGACCCCCAAATATACTTGGAATAGTAGATTTTTACAACTGCAAAAAAAGTGGTTCTTTCCAAAGCTCCTACCACCGTGGACACTGTATTTACAATGTGGCGTCTATGGCAGTTAAGCACATAGTATCCTTGTAATAAGGTCAGTAACCTCTACAAGATTTAGTAACACAATTGGGAACCAGGGTGATGGTACGAGATTGGAACTAGCTCGAGGTACAAGAACTCCTGGAACTTGTAAAACAGCATTCCAAGCAAGCACTTCCTCTACACAAAGTTGATGGCCAGCACTCTCATGTTCTGGTCAAACACCAAACAAGAAAAACAACAAAGCGACATGTTTAATTCTTAGCTTTTTAAAAAACCTGGTTGCTTGTTAACTACGCTATCTTTTCCCACAGATTTTGACAGACAAAAAGAGGCTTATGAATCTTACTGGTTGCTTTTGGTAGAAGAGTTGATGCCGAAGTTCAATTTCAATCTTAATAACTTGTTTCAAATTATTCTTATATAGCCAAAGCACCTATTGCCAGAGTTGTATTGAAAATGGTAATTCAAACACTAAAATCTGGCAAATCTATCCACCCATGATTTATTGAATGCATAGCATTGTTACATTTTGATACTATGCATAATATTCCTAATTCATTGCTACTTTCATATAGGAATATTCATTCAGATAGTTCATAGATACCTGAAAAGAGCCTTCTGCCTAGGATGGAGATACTGTACATATCTAGATGTACATCTGAATCACCTACCCAACACAGAAGCCTGCTAGTATACATAGGGCACACTGGGTGATGGTTTCCATCAGTTTCATTCAAAACAGTACAAAATACCTACAGGGACAGACAGGTGTTCTATAGAACAGAATAGTACCTAGTTTTTATTAAAAAATAAGACACAAAAGGCTTTGTATTTAACTTGGTAAGTGTTATGGTTTCTCTAATTTTGACACTGTGATGGCTTATTATAACCAGCCAGTATGGTGTAGACACAGCATGAAAATGGCTATATAATAGGTAAAAGGTAAATGACCCCTGGGCAGTTAAGTCCAGTCAAAGGCGACTTTGGGGTGCGGGCTATATAATATAAGACAACAAAGAGGAGTCTGGTATTATGAGTCAAATGAGGTTTTATATCACCTATGATCGTTGCCATAAATGACCACTCCACTGTGCTTTTCCCCCCATACATTTGATCTGGAATTTAATTGCCACTATCTTTGTTTTGAGCGTGTTGTTTTATAACCCCTGTTACAACTACTGTATGGACCTATATACCTGCAACTGAGGAAAACACACCATGCGTCTAGCAAAGAATGCAGCCGAATTTAGTCTATGAAAGCTTATGCCGTAACATTTGTTAGTCTTTTTAAGGTGCCACAATACTTTGTTTTTTGCTGCCTCTGGAAATTGTATAAACCACACACTGTTAATTGAAATGTAATGTGAACCAAGAGACATTAAAACACAAAGCTTTCTTTGCAGAAGTGTCTTCTACAATTTCCATTCTCATTACTTTGGGTTCCCACTTTGGCAGCAATTGATGGATTATAAACTCATGTCCACTGTCAGGTCATCACCATCACAACTAATGCTTCTACCTTAAGGCAGTGACCAGACTGGGCTGAAATCTGAGGACAACGGTGAAATGGTGAATGGTTGCACATTGCCCCTATAACTTGTATTTGGTGTTCTTACCTTTTGGAAGCATTGGTCTGTTGGATCTCATCTTCCATGTGTGTTTACTCACTTAAGCTTACATCTCAGCTGAACCAATATAGAACAAAAGGCAACTGCAATAGGCACTATGGGCCACCTGCTATTACAAAAACATATAATTCCAAACCATAAGCAACATCTGTTGCTTATAATACTTGACTTCATGGAGCCATGCAGCTCTGTGATACAAATGCAGCCTTTGACAACCCACTTTTTAAAAAAGTGTTGAAGGTGGTTTAATTCTCCCCAGCAAAAATAAGTCCATTTAAATGTCACCTTTTTAGTGCTGATAAATAGTTATTCTTATGTACAAATGTTACAATCTTCATTACTCTAGTGTCTTGAAATGCCAGGCTGTTTTCTTTAGATACAGTGGTGCCTTGCAAGACGAAATTAATCCGTTCCGCGAGTCTCTTCGTCTTGCGGTTTTTTCGTCTTGCGAAGCACGGCTATTAGTGGCTATTAACGGCTTTAAGAAAAAGGAAATAAACTCGCAAGAACTCGCAAGACGTTTCGTCTTGCGAAGCAAGCCCATAGGGAAATTCGACTTGCGGAACGACTCAAAAAACGGAAAACCCTTTCGTCTAGCGAGTTTTTCGTCTTGCGAGGCATTCGTCTTGTGGGGCACCACTGTATTGGGGGAAACCTGCAGTCTCTGAAATTTGTTTGAAGAGCATCATTTTGGCTTCAAAAGCAAAACAATTTTACTCTAGGTTGAAGCCTAGAGTAAGGGGTCATTTAGAAGGACTTAGCTTAAAATTCCAGAAACGAGCAGCTGAGCTGCTTGACAGTTATCCCTCCCCACCCAAATATCTAGAACTGTGCTCATTCTAAACACAAGAGATTGGCAATTTCCCCCCCTTTTTAATAAGGTTCTTCGTTTTGTTTATTTTCTAAATCAGAAGAACTGACTACCTCATTCTATAGTTGTTTGTGGAACTACAGGCAGCCCTGTTTAGGGAAGTTTTTAATGTTTGATGTTTTATTCTGTTTAATACTCTGTTGGGAGCCACCCAGAGTGGCTGGGGAAACCCAGCCAGATGGGTGGGGTATAAATTTATTATTATTATTATTATTATTATTATTATTATTATTATTATTATTATTATTATTGAAAATTACATTAGCATGAAAAGAGTTCTTCCTCAGAGAGGGCATAGTTTATTACAGTCAAAAAGAACCCCCCCCCCAAATAAAACGAAGTTTGATGACATGTCTGGTCTGCTTAATGAAACATCAATACTGAAATAATACCTTTAATATATTATTTACATTCCCTTACTCCTATAACAAAAGGCTTGCTTTTGAACAACTGTCCATACAAGCAATTGTGGGTTTTAAGTCTCTTGAGTACTTTACAAACTTAGGAACGCCCTGCTTTGATCATTCACCCAGAAAATACCTTAAGAAGTATTTAAGCTGCTTCTGAAAAATATTACTAATAAATTGGAAGAAAGAGTTCATTATATGTTACAAAACCAGAAGCTTTCATACAGAAAACTTGCACATTATACCATTTGAATTCTTTCTTTGCATACCTTATGTTCCAGTTTGACAGCCACTTAAGAGCAGGGGTCAGCAACCTTTTTCAGCCATGGGGCGGTCCACTGTCCCTCAGACCTTGTGGGGGGCCGGACTTTATTTTGAAGAAAAAAAAATGAACAAATTCCTATGCCCCACAAATAACCCAGAGATGCATTTTAAATAAAAGGACACAATTCTACTCATGTCAAAACACGCTGATCCCTGGACCGTTGGTGGGCTGGATTGAGAAGGCGATCGGGCCCATGGGCCTTAGGTTGCCTACCCCTGCTTAAGGGGATGATGGCCTGAGTAAAGCTGAAAAACTACAGAAAGTGGCTGCAGTTAACTTGATACAGTAAGCAAGAAGTGAATGAAGTCAGTACAATGGCTTGATTGTGAAAGATAGAAGTATCAAGTAATTACCACTCTGATAACAGCAGCGAATATCAGATATGGAATTTTCACCGCAGGCTCCTATGATAGCAGCTTCTCTAGTATTTGTTTCACCAGGACAGGGTCTGAGCGTCCTCTTGTTGTTCTTTGAACCTGTCCAATAAGCTTATTCAGTGCTTTTTTGTTGCCCTTCTTTATGTCTGCCACCTTGAAAGAAAAATTACAAAACAAAACTCAATTTTGAGCAACATCAAACTAAAGCAAAAACACACTGAAGAGACTTGCTTCTAAATCCTGGTCTTCACCACCGGAAAAACCAGAGCAAACCTTGAGAACTGGCAGGTTATTTTCTGTTCTTGATGTGACATCATAAAACGTGACAGTTTAGCAACCCAGAAGCTTAGAATGATTTTATTTCATTATCGTAATATTAAATAGTACAATCCTTGTGTCCTTTCTCACGTTTCTATAGAGCAAACGTAAGGTCTACCAGGATTTAAAGATTCTACATTTGCAAAGCAAGGTTGTTGTGCAGCACAAAATGGCAAGCTAAACTGGACTTTCTTTTTTTGCTAACAGCAAGCTTGGTGTAGAGAGCATGCATTGTGAAATTAGATTGTTGCCCCGATCAGTCTTCACCACTAATGAGGTGAAGGAACATTACAGCACTCTACAGCAGGCTTGTAATGGAGTCGGTTACAAGAGGCAGTACATAACTTTCCGTTAGTTGGGCCAACAAGTTATCTCACCAGTACAGCAGATATTTCTCCATTAACTTTTTTTTTTTTTAGATATATACATGGTGTTTTTCAAGAGCAATAAGTGATTTCACAGATTTAAAAATATACATTAACCCATGTATGTTGTTTGTTTCTGAATTCTGAAACAAGTTCCTGCTCAGCAGGAAAACTGGTGGTGGGGGGAGTGAACTGGCTTGCTTGAGCACCTAGCAATTTAACAGTATCCCAGAAGGAGGTATGATTGGCTCGAATCCTGAACAGGAGCACTGTTAAGGCAGATATGGGGGACTTTTGGCTCTTCAGATGATGTTCGCCTGCAGCTCCCATCATCCCTGACCATTGGCTGTGCTGACTGGAGCTGATAGGAATTGGAAACCATCATCCTCTGGAGGACCACATGTTCCATAGGCCTGAACTAGAGTGTTGGGATGTGCTTTTACCATTTTACTACAGGCCCCACTCGTTTGAAAGGAAGCTCTCAGCACTAAAAGAGCAGCAATGAAAGTCTTGGAAAGAATACAGCAGGTCTGTAGAACCTGCTACTGTTATGTCAACCACAGCCCACCAGCCATGTAATCTGATCCGCCAAAAGAAATCACAGCCTTTCCTAGTCTTGTAAGGTAAGCGAAGACAAGAGTCCTATAAACCCACTAGCTGAAATGCATTTGGCTTGGTGGGTCATATGAATCCTACTTCTGCATCAGAGCAATGGTTCCTTTAGTCCAGCGGTTCTCAACCTGTGGGTCCCCAGATGTTGTTGGACTACAACTCCCATTGTCCCTGAGCTCTGGCCTTGCTAGCTAGGGGTGATGGGAGTTGTAGTTTAACAACATCTGGGGACCCACAGGTTGAGAAAGGCTGCTTTAGTCCATCAGCTTGTTGATGCCAGTGGCCACCCAGATCTTCTGGGGAGCCCACAAGCACAACATGAAGGCAATAGCCTTATTGTTGTTCCCCAGCAGCTGGTATTCAGTAGCACCCTAACTCTGAACTTGGAAGCTGCAAGCAGACATCGTAACTAGTACCACTGGACTGGATTGAAGGGAAGCAGTGCATTCAGAACTTGCATCCTACTTTCAGGCTGAGCAGGGAGTAATCTTTGGACTAAAAAGAAGAAAAAATGCAGCTACTATACACTAATTCAAGGTGTGATGGGGTAGAGCTGCCCTGTGGACACTGGTTTCATTGCTTACCTGGGCAAGGGCGCCGACAGGGCTGTATGGTGGCACTGGGGGACAGTCACTAATCTTGGGCAACCTCACTGGTCCCTAGGAAAGGGGAGCAGCAGTGCCTGTGGCAGGAAGGGGGCTCCAGGGCCCGACCCAAACACACCACTACTGAGTGTTTGCCAGCACTTGAATTAGTATGTATTACTAAGAGATAAGGCATCTGCTTTGTGGCTGTAACACATGCACAGCTTCTGCAACACCTAGACACTTTTCAGATGACTTATGGGACTTATTATTATGCTTAACTGAGAAGCGACCTTTCAAAACCATTCAGAATGTAAGGTATTCTTTCACTCTTCCAGTTAAAAGCTCTTATTATTAAAGCAAGATACCTGTTCTGTCAACAAGTGTAACCAAAGCTGAAGGGCTTATTCAAATAATTCTATAAACAATACAGTTATTGCCACCCCCTTTTTTTAAGCCCCCCCTTTTTTTAAGCCCATACATATACTGTAGTGCATATATGAGTATGTATATGTGTGTGTGTGTGGGTGTGTGTGTATATATGTATTGTTTTTATGTATAATTTTACAACTTTTAATTGACACCATCATTCCCTCGTAAATTACTGCTGCCTTTTATGTTTTTTCTTTTCTTCTGGTCTATGACCGTAATAAATTTATTCATTCATTCATTCATTGCCACAGTATTGGAAAACCAAGTAAGTTCTCTTCAGGTAATGCTTGCTTGCTGAGGGGAAAATCTAATTTTCCCAGCACCCAAAACATAGCTTTCTGTTGCTGGGGCAAAATAACATATTTCCTCAGGGCTAGCACTGCAGTTTCTAATCTGATTGCCAAAGCCACAGAGGAGGTGGTTGCAGATTTATAGCACATAGAAGGTTGCTAGATAGTCCCAGTGGCATCAGTGATACGACACAACTCTCCCTATCCTGTTTTGTGACTCTAAAATAAACATTGCTTCAAAATCACTTACAGGGGCTACATGGCAGTGTGTATCAAAAAGGGTCTTTCACCATCCCCTACTTCTATTCCCAAACATCCAGCTATGTTCTGCCGTTTTGTGGCATGATTGGTTTGCTCTTGGAACTGAATAGTTCTCTCTTTGCAAAAAGACTATGGTCCCTGCGGTGAGTGTTTTGTCTATTATACAGGAAATGGACACAGTGTTACTTGCCCTGGAAAAGGGCTTGCAGGATTATCCTGTTGATATTGAAGCCGTTGTGGCAAATACTTCGATTAGTTATCTGGAAAAAGTCCGAACTCATACATAAGATCTCATGGTAGTGTGAGCATAGAGTCACCAATTTAAATATTGTCTTATCGTTTAGAAAAGCAGAATCCAAACAGCCTTTGATTTTTCATGCCCGCCTCCACTAGAATACTAGTTAAAGAATTAAATACTCAAAATCCATGTTGTTACTGAAACAAAAAACACTTGTGCTCCTTGATCTGTTCTAATGCTCAGACTGTCTCTGCTTGCGCTTCAGTACCAGCTGGAAAATACAGAGGTACTTTCATCAGCCACTGCAAATTAGTTAGCACGATGAAGGTCAGACAGACCTAGCACACGCTCATTTTATTTATCAAAAGCTCTCTGCAAAGCTGTTAGCCTCCACTGAAGAGCTATGGGCGTGGGTAGCATTGTTCTCGATAGATGTTAGCATTTTCCCTACTGCATATTGTAACCAGACAACATTTTACTTAACGTTAAGCCATTCATTGCTGTTTTTCCAATCTGTGCTCTGGAGAGAACGCAAAAGCACTTACTCTTTATAAAGCTAATTCTGGATCTTTGGAAGGATTTCTTTTAATTTGCAAGGATTTTTTTAATAAAAAAAATTAACTGTAAAATTAGAAGCTTCAGGTGGAGATATTTTCTACTTTGCTCCTATTATTCCATGCAAATGCTATTTTGCAAGCGTACAGTCTATACAGAATATTCACGTTAGTGTAGAGTTGCTGGAGTCAAGGGGACATGGATTTAAGTTGCCATCTCCTGCAGCCACTTCATGTGTCACAATGCAATTTCCCTCCCATTTTCTCTGAAGAGTTTCCAAACAAAAGGGCAACATGAAAGGAAGGTGGCAATTTAAATCTTTTATCTCCACCACCCACCCTGAAGAGTCAAAGTCTCTTGTTCCCAATTTCCCAGGGTTGCTATCAATATCACCTCTTTCTGATGGGCTCCCATCACAGTCTGACAGATGCACTCAAGCTCATTCTGATCCTGCAACAGTTCAAGCTTCTCTTCTTTAACAATCAGAGATGGAGACTTCCCTTCCCCCTTCCACATCACTTCCAGCACCTGCAGCATCAAGATAAAGGAAAATCAGCGCTTGAAACATGTCTCTCAGAAGGCAAGGATGACGTTTGCAATAAGAAGAAGGCAAAGGCGTATTAACGGGCATAATGACTCCCATTCTGACACAAAATCAGAAATCAATCTACTGATGACATCCCATATCTAGATGTGCAAAGCATGTAAAGTTTCCTACTTCTCAGGTAAGTTTCCTTTAGAAAAATCATGATCGCCTCTTTCTGGACTCGCATTTCTAGTTCTCCTAGAAAGCAGGGGAATACTTAGTCTCATGTGCCAAGCAGGTATTTTTTAATTGTGGCACAGGTATGCAAGGGTATGTCACAATCCTACTGAGAAGGTATTTTTGGTGACCCTTGTCCAATCATAAAAAAGCATCATTAGAAGAGTCCCATTGTCCCACATGCCTGAACACAAACACCTCTACACTTTAGGGTCTACAGTATCCAGTACTACTGTAGTTACTGCCCAAAACAGTAACACTAGGCTGAACGAATACTTCTCCTGGCTCCTAATGCTGTTCGCAGGCTCCACATAATAAAGCATCTCACATTTGGGCTTATCGCAGTTCAATAATGTGCCACAATAAAATGTCTATTGATCAGGCTTGGTGGAAAATCTCTCTCATATTTTCTTTCTTTATATGGGATAATACATGTCCATTCTTTAAGTCTGTAAAATGCAGCATCTTCCTTTTGGTTAAAAAAGGGCGCTCTTAGCGGAAGTCTGGTCTCAAATGTACTGTACAAAGTCAAGATTACTAATGCAGACTGGTTATAACTAACAAGTGTGTGTACAAGTGTGTGTCTAATACTATGAATTGAATTCCAGGTAGTATTTTTATCTCTTTCCCTGCCCCTCAATGCTTGCTCATCTGCGTACCATGACGATTTTGACCATAACTGTGAATACCACACTGCTTTGGGACTGCATAGCTGGTAATACTTATTAAGGGTGTGATCTTTGCATATGCACACCATCTGATCCCTATCTGTTATTCCATGGAGTATGGATAAATGAAATTGCAAAATGAGATTTAGTTGAGATTCCTGCATTGCAGGGAACACTTGGCTAGATGATCCTCAGCGTCTCTTCCAACTCTCCAATTCTATGATTCTGAATCTCCCATAGAGTTACCATTTAACCAGGCAACTGTTACTCTGCTGACTGTCAGTGGGAGAAAAAGGAGTTTAGCTACATAAAGGCAGGTCATAGACCACAGAGGTGTGGAAGGTTATAATGCAGAACCCTGTGCCAGCTCTAGCCCAGTTATCCATCACTGTGAAGCACAGCTGGATGAACTTAAGTGTCTGTCTGGAATAATTATTAGTTAAAGTTACAGTGCTTTGTAGTTGGGCTCTGATACCTTGGAAAAAACCCTAGAGAATGGGGCTATTTATAAAAAAGCAATTTCTTTGGGCAGTCATTTTCTGTATTCCCTCTGCTCTTATTTCAGAGATGGAGGCAGAGAGAGAGAGAGAGAGAGCGCAGAAGGAGAGAAAGAGACCTTTTAAAACAGCTGCTTCTGTTCGTTCCTGCACTGAAGACATAATTGCATGTTTGGGCAATTGCAATCTGCCAATGCAGAAATGACTGTCATGTTGGAAATTCCATGTTACTAATTCACCAAAGCTAAGAAAATGGAAGTGCTTTTTAATGTAACGCTCCCTAGCACAATTAGCATTGCTTTACACAAAACAAGATTAAAATGAGATGGGGGAGAACTAACAAAGTTACAAATCTTCCGCCACAACGGATGAAATTTCTCCCAGGGCTACAAGATCACCTGGTCCAAAGTAATGGTGCAGGTATGTGGCAAACTACACACTGACGCTATTTGAGCCCCTCTTCAAATTAGTCTGCCTTGTACCAAGTCTCCAAGCTGTTAACTTGCAGTTGCATTTGTTTGGTCGGAGGCCACAAAATTTGCCATAACAAAGCAATCTCACATAGCCACTGTGCAACTTGGTCTCATTCCTGAGACAGTCAAGGCATGTGATGGTGTTAAATATATTTAAGTAAGCATATCAGAATCTTTTGCAGGGAAGAGATAGGATAAAGACCCTGTGTTCATCAGGGTTGACAATATATAGTATGCGACTAGATGGACCACTGACATTACTCAGTGTGAGGCACCTCTCTATCTATAAAAGCTGGGATTTGTGCAGCTTCCCTGTCAGAGCTCTTAATCAAGGAAAACACATCTCACCTGAAAGGTTCTGTTGTGTGGATATGAATTAATTGGCTATACAGTAAGCAAACAAGCACACACCTGGAAAGATTCTTTGGTTACTGTGTGCATAGGTTTGGAAAAAGATTTGTTTGGGAGTGCTGCAATTACACAATGCAGCCATATTTCCTCTCATGGCCACAGAACATACCATTTCTAATAAGGCTCACAGCCCTTCACAATTTGAGCTTCCTGATCCGCAGAAAGCATAAACAACAACAGAAACAGCAGCAGCAGCAGCAGCAGCAATAACCCTGCTGGAAGCTTCCAACAATGTGTACATGTGTTGCCTGTGTGCGTGTGTCTCAGTTTGCCTAGCCCATCAGTGCTGCAGTTCAATCACCCCACTCTCAAATGCAGCAATTCATTCACTCTTGTGTGCGTCTATTTGTGCCCTCAGGCCATCCAATCTCCCTGCCTACTGCTGAGAATTGTTAGAAACATTTGTTATTCTTCAGACATCTAGCCCATCAACGTCCTCTTCTAAATGTAGCAAGGATGCTGTTTTTCACAGGATCAACCAATAATAGCCAAACAATGACATTGTTAGTTGGTGTCTTCATTATTTTGGTTATTAGATTGCATTTGTGAAGCCCACCCTGGATTTGAGGTGGGTATAAATCTTGAAGAAGTTATTAATTTAAAGACACAGAGAATACGAGTTCTATTACAATCAGATGAAAGCTAAACAGTCCTCCCCCAACGGGTAAAAGGTAAAGGTTTGACTGGATGCTTAAGTCCAGTCAAAGGCAACTATGGGGTGCGGCACTTATCTCGCTTTCAGGCTGAGGGAACCAGTGTTTGTCCACCAACAGCTTTCCGGGTCATGTGGCAAGCATGACTAAACCACTTCTGGCGCAACGGAACATCATGATGGAAGCCAGAACACATGGAAACACAGTTTACCTTCCTGCCACAGCGGTACCTATTTATCTACTTGCATGGGTGTGCTTTTGAACTGCTAGGTTGGCAGAAGCTGGGACAGAGCAATGGGAGCTCACCCCATTGCGTGGATTTGAACCGCTAACCTTCCGATCAGCAAGCCCAAGAAGCTCTGTGGTTCAGACCACCCGCTCCCTGCCATTAACACAGTATATATGTTTTGACAAATCGAGAAAAAAATATTAGAAATCTAAACTCTCTCTGTAAGACACTGAGCTGGTTTACAGATTTTAAAACGAACTATGCTTTAATGTGAACATAAACACAATGTGCAAGCTGATGTGCCATCTAAACCTGCGCTTGTGCTTTGTTTCTCTCCAAACAAACCATGAAAGGTAAGGTTTGTTCTTTGTTTACCACTCATGGTTTGTTTGGATGACACACGAGTCAGACTCTGGCTACTTTCATTAGCAGGAAGGAGTGCATAAGGAACTTTCCTGTAGTGTGCAAAGCTCAATCACATTATGCCATAGTTTGTGACGTGAAGTGGACCACTGAGAGCGTTGATAGGTGACCAAATATCAATGCATTTATGGAACTTCTGCAAAAAGCATGCAGAGGACACTGGGTAATGGTACCATGCCAACCTGCTTCATACAATACATTTTTTCAAATTCTTATGGTTCAGTGCTGTTAAAAATACTGTCCCATCCTTTGCTAGGCTGCTACTGCAGAAGAGAACAGACGTCATATCGCAGTGGCAATCATGGTGATTAGCTGCCAATAATGTTCATATAACTGATGCCTCTTCACAGGGACAAAAGGCAGTAAACTGCCATTCAGTCTCAGTTACAGACAAGTCCAAGATTACTGTACATGCCCCATGAACTATAGTCACAAGTTAAAAACAAGCCAAACACACACACACACATGCTGTATAAAAATGTTTAAATTATTAGCGTTACATCATTCATTTATTAATTAAAATTATATCCCATCCCACCTCCCAAAGGAGCTCAGGGTTACAAACAGCAAACCACAAAATAACAAAAAGTTATTTACAAAACATTTTGAAGAAGCTTGCATATCTCTTATATGGGACTGAGGTTTAGAGTACACATGGTAATGATCCTGTATAGTTTTCTCCACGTCCAAACCCCCATCAATAATTTATTTTCACTTAAAGTGGCCTCTGAGGCTACAGTCTCCAATAGTAATCTAGCATTAGGGGAATATGAACTCTGGCAGCTTTCCAGCTCTAAAATGTGTCCTTCCCCCCATGCCAGCCATTTTGCGAGCCATGGAGAAAAACAAAAGGATACCTTTTATCTTCCTCTACAGAGACAAAAAGAGATTGGGTGGGCAGCTGGCTATTTGAAGGTTGATGACAGGCCAAGAAGGAAGATTTAATATTACCCCATCTCCAAAAGAAAATTTTGAGTGGGGGTGTGGAAGTAGAGAATCACCGCCACATATGATTTTCACCCAATGCTGAAATCCTACCCACATTGCTCAATAGAGCTAAGTTCAAGTGAGACTTATTTCAGAATACATACGCACAGGATCAGCCTTGCACAAGTAGGCCCAAACAAAGATCCTTTTACCTTTTGTCGTTTCTTTGTAACTGAACACAAAAATGAGGATTACTGAGATAATAGATAACAGCTTTTTTTTAAAGGGAGGTGGGGCGTGTTTTCAAACTAAGGCCAACAAGATATAACATTTTATAAATTCAAGACTCAAATGCACCGTGACACAAACAAGCTCATGGTGAAGGCAATGTTAAAAAGAGGAATGCTCACTTGTTTGGCTGCCGAGGAAGAAATCGTTCCGCTTTCCAGAAGGTTCAGAAGTTCGGCCAGAAGAAGAGGACTGACTGGACTAGACCACATAAAATGGATTGAAATAAGCAGAGATGCAGAAATACAGCACGAGCTACTCATCACGTTTAATGTGGTTATATCAAAGTTGGGATGTGCAGAAAGCCATCTGAGCAAAAGGCTCCAACTCTTTTGCCTGGGTTGTACATTAGGTTTCCCCATGACCATCCTAATCCAGTTCTGTTCATGCAATTTTAAACAGGAGGAGATGTGCTAGTTGCAAATGGGAACACACATCCCACTGAGAATACTGTAGTGCTGGCTGACATCTGTAGTCATTTGCACATTCTAATGGATGTACAACCTCTTTTCTTCGCTGTCCACCTATATCTTGCAAAATACTTTTCTCCTTCACCCATTGATCTCACCCCTCTTCCTTTTGTAAATTAGCAGAATCAGATAAAGAAGGTTCAGTATGATTTTTATGCATCAGTTGAACAACAGTAACTACTATGTAAGAAACTGAACCTTGAAGGTTACTGTGGCATCCTTAATCACTGAACAGTTTATTCAGATGCCCATGTGGTAACAGAGGACTACATTATTTACCATTATCGAAGACTAATATTTGTGTACAGATTTGCTTGTGCAAAAGTATAAACATTAAAAAGCCTCACCTTTCCTTTACTTCAAGGTTATACTGTTTTAAATAGCCAAGAATATCTTTTATAATCCAGCCAACGACCTTTTTGGGAGCCATTCCTGTTGCATTCACCACAGCTTCAAAAAATTCTACTAATCCATCTTCATTCTGCTCAGAGACAAAATGGTGTGTTAAGATGGCAGCAGCCGAACCAGCTATCCATACCACCACAAAAACCAAACCAAAATAAAAATAAAAACTCATATCCATGACCTTTTGGTCTTATCACATGTGGAATATTCTTAACCTCTTGGCTTCTCAGCTATTCGCAACAGTCAATTGATCAACATGCCTCAAGTTAACTTCACAATGCTTCCAAAAACTGCCACGGCATGAGTATGCAATAGAATAGCAAGATAGGCATGACTTTAGCCTCTCCACTGCTAGTTTTGCAGAAATTATATACCCTTATAATTCGTGAAGTTTTTTGCTTGTGTGTGTATGTTTTCACAGTTAGGCTGCTCTTTTTCGTGTTCTGAGACCACCAAATACATACACAATCAGAACGGCACGACCCACCCTGAAAGCATACCATAGTTTTTCTTCCCTTCCCTGTGAAATCTGATGACATCACAGAAGCATGTGAGCACTCACATTGTAAGGGAGTGTCTCAAGGGAGAGATGTGTACACATGTGGTAAAAATTTGTATCTATGTCACTAGGCAGGTAAAGAAAGGCACAGGTGTTGAGTCTAGTGGGGAAGGAGGAGCTTGGCAAAACTCCTGTTAACCCAGTATGAAAGATCAGCCAGGACTCACCCTGCTTACTGTCCAGTTTCATAATGGTACTCTATACCGTTGCTTTCTAAAATGGCTGAAATAGATATGCCTACAACAGCCCACCCAACAGCTGAACCAGAACTGGCACATACAGTCAGAATCAATTTCAAGCAAACACAAAGCAAGAGGAAAACACACAACTCTATAATCTTTAAACAGATTATATAGAGACTCAGTAATTAAAGGCAGATCAGCAAGCATCATTAGTCACAATGTAAATGCTTCTGTCAAATGCGAGTGTGTGTTTTAAGTTGAATCAAAACTCCTCCTGAGTGACAAGCTGAATCCTTGCCTTCTAGTTCTTGCAGTTTTTGTATTGCAAGCAAGACTCGAGCAGTCGTTTGCTTCCAGACAGCTTTTACTGCCGGAAAGTTGATCAAAATGCATGGCAGACTCAAACTAGCACTCACTCAGCACAGAAGGCTGGAGTAATCCTATGACTCATAGGAGGAATATTTTTCTCTCAGACAGTTTGTCAGCTTAGGGAATAAGCTCACACACAAGGCAACCCTTGAACGGAACTTGCTTATATCCAGTGCCAAGTGCAATCGTCTCCAAAATCCTAACCCTTATCCAGTCCCATTCAGTTCAAAGCAAGTTTGTCAGGAGATTCAATTTTCTTACTGCATACATTATACACATATTCCTAAGAGCTTGATGAGATGTTCAGTCTGGTAGAAAGCCTACATATTTAACAAGTACACCGATGTGGATCTGTCTACTACTGCTGCCATTTTAAATTTCATACACACACTTGCATGCAAGTCAAAGATGTCAGGAGATGTTTGGGGAGAATACTCAGGATGTATCGGAAATAACACCCTGGACCCACAGCAACACTAACATGCCTAGTGTCCATTCAATCGAAGGAGAGATTTCAGCAGGAGCTCAGAGCAATTACCAGCAGTGTGCAGGCAGAACCAATTGGAAGGGGGGCCATTTGGTCCAGGGCCTTGAGATCAAAGGGGGCCTCACATTTAGACACCCAGTGCATCCCCCAAGGCTGTAACTATCATATGTAATGTATAAAAAGCTGTTATTGTTGAAGCAGAGGCAAAAGTATGTGAACAGCTCAGTGAAATTAAAAGCATTTGGTGAAATTTTAGCAATATAAGCTAAACTTCAGAAAGTAGGTATCACTTTTCACTAGCGAAATGTGCTATTTTTCAGTGGTTTGGGGAAGTGTGGGATTTTCTCGCTGCTGAAAATACTGGGAGCCAAATTACTTACTCTGAGCAGAGCAAAACCAGAGCTCCTTTTATTTTTTATATTCACTGAATATGCTGGAGGTCTTGGTGGAACAGCAACCTAGTCCAAAGGATACCAAACTATATACATACATTAAAGCCTTATAACTTCAACTCTTATTTAGATCTGTGTTTCACCATACAATGCCTTATTCATACCTGCTTCAGCTACATGTACAACACTGAATTTATTGCCTTTGCTGCATATATTTTTTTTTATGCGCAGGCTCTAATTATTTTTATTTTTATTTTATTTTGGGGGCTCGTTACAGTTAATGTAGCCTGGTGGAAATTTAGAATACATACTTCAAAATCCCCCTAAGGATTAATGCAACACTGACTAGAGTAACCAAAGAATAATAATAATATTTCATTACTGAAGTATGACTTTATTTTAATGCAATTTCCCCTGTACAATGCTTCCGCTAACAAGTTGGCAGGGAGTGTGGATCTTGCATTTTGAAGGTGTCCCAGTACCTATGCCATTTATTTAATGAGCACGCTTGGGCACTCTAAACTGAAAGACTGCTCATTAGATTTATGCATCCTCCCCATTAGCAATCTGTTTGTATTCCTGATGTAGGCTTAAAACACCAACAGAAACTAGATGTCTCAGGTGAATTTAGATTAGCTGGACTCTCAGTAAATCAAAAGAAAAGAAATAGTGTTTGTAGAACAATACCCCCCTCCCCAAGACCTAAATGTAGAGAGAATGGATGGCAGGGAGTCATTATTGGACCAAAAACATTGATAGTACTCAATGGGTTGGCTCAATTGGCTCAGTGGGTTGGTACCATCTTCAGAATAAGCACCTGTTACTTTCTGCTCAACTATACAGGCTTCCAGAATAGGCCTGGTGTCCAAGTGTCAGAAAGACACATTAGACAGAAAGAGATGAGGAAGAAAAAAAACACAGGAGAAAAGGCTAACATTAGTCAAAGCTGAGTACTCAGCAGAATGAAAGAAATCTAAGGTTAGGCTAGGCAGTCTCATTTATTTCCACTGCTAAAAAGAAGCCCTGGAGCCAGCATATATGTTACATGAAAGGGCTTGTTCATATAGTAGGCTTATGACAGATACATGCATGATTAAATTCCAGAAAAGTGTCACAGTTTCTTTCTAGTATTTAGAGTGCATTAACGTAAGTTTATGGTAGAATAATGGATCAAATGTCATAAAGCCATATGGTGCTGTTCTTTTCTATGAATTTCTCCCCCTTTAAGCTACAAGGGTGGTCCAAAGGTCATGCATCCAAGAGAAGGTTAACAAAAAATTTAAAACTGCTTGGCGTGCGACTTTTCAATGTTACAGACAGTGATACACCACGGAATATAGCCACAAGCTGAAGAATAATGTGGAAAAAGCCCTACTGGCCCAGCTCTTAAGATTGATTGAGCTGGATGAGATGCACCAACTGGGCTCACAGAGCACATACTTTAATGCCAGCATTCCAGAGATAGCAGTGTTGTAGGCAAATACATTGAAAAAATTAGAATACAGGAATGTTTTTAAGACAAAAAGGGTTTTGAGGCTACAATAACTAGCTATATATTTCAATTTACTATGATGCTGATGGACGCATGCCAAAAAAAAAGCAGGTACAGTTTCAGAGACCCTCTTGTGTACATTATCTGAGCAGAAACAGCCAAGCGTGTTGAACTCATTTTCTACGTAAGAAAAATCTATGAGAACTGACAGCTGGCTAATATGACATTTTTAGGAGTGTTTTCTGAAGCACTGAATCTTTTGAAGTTTCTTGGTTTACTTGAATGTTCAGTCAATAGACCTACCAATAAGGTGAAACTGTGCTGAGGCTGAATCCCATAACATTCAACAAGCTTTGCTCTCTTCGCACTGGGGAGGTCAGGAAGCCTCTCCCGAAGCCAATCAATATTCACCACTTGCTGGTCGCTTGTGTGAGCAGGCGAAGATTTAGAATCGCGAAGAATCAATGGAGGAAGGTTCGGCTCCGGCATAAACCTGGGAGAAAACAAAGGGAGGCTCCTCTGCTGTCCTTTTCACTTCAACCCTTTAGCCGCATCCCAGCCACCTGTGATGAAGTTGCTCCTTCTCCGAACAATTATGGGACTTAACGTAAGGAAACCAAATGCTCAGAGTCCACAGCTGAGTGCAAGTCCTCTCAGCAGCAACAGATAAGCCCCTGTGCCGAGGTGCATAGCCTAAAGCTGCCTTTCTTTTTTGATGATCCGCCACTGGCTGTCAACAGCCAGCAACGGGGAGAAGGAATAAATTTAAGCCATTTTACGCCCTTCCAAAAAAACACAAACAAAATGCAGATGTCGCTTATCGTCCTCGGTGCCAAACAGGACCTGTGATTTCAGACCAACTGGGAGTACAATCTGGCAAAGGGGAAAAGGAAGAGTGACAGCCAGATGCTAGCAGTGTTCCACGCAGGTTGCAACCTCCCTCGTGTTAGTCGGAGGAGTTTCAATGAAAGGAGGAAACCGCGCTAAAAGCCAAGTTGCCATCTTCAGTGGGGTGCCATGGCAAATAAATCTGAGTGACAACATCAAATGACAAGGGCTGCGCCGAAGAAGGGGCTGATTCAAGCCACCACAAAAACATGGCGATTAAAGAGCCAACTCCTGCCTTGCACGAACAAATGGTGGATTTGCAAACTTAAACAATTAAAGCGTTGCCAAGCGTTGCAAACAGCGGAGATGCATTCCTTGAAGAAGTTAGACTTAAGCTGCACCCACTGCTTTCAAATCCAGTTTTCAATAAACAAAAGCACAGTTTAAAAAGCAAATTTCACTATAGGTTTTGAATTGATTTATCCATGCTTTCTTTCTCCCCGTTTTTATTTTATTTTAAACAAAACATTCAAGTTCATCAGTTGAAGCAGTGAAACAGGCTGAGGCTAGCAGATGTGTAAAGAACTAATGAAATAGCCACAGCCCTCTCCTCACACAGTATCCTGCGATATAGGAAAATGAGGTCTAAAGAGGTTAGCACTGCATTAGCTACAGTGTTCAACTGCATTAGCTGTGGAAAAATCAAAACTCTATTGAAAAAAAGTACACCCACTTTTATCCATGTAGCAAGGATATTATGATCAAATGATGATGGACAACTGGAAGTGCTATTTATGCAGCTTTGAACATACCTGGCAGTGGGCTTTTAACAAATTTCAGCTGGTAATAAAAATTTGTAGCACAGACTACTAAAGAGGTGGCAGCTATTTCAAATGAAGGGTTGTCAGAAAACAACAAATCAGATTTATTTTCTGTTGCTCCAGAGGGTAGGAGCCAAACCCATTGGTTCAAAGTAAAAGGAAAAAAGATTTTTAAAAAAGAAAAAAAATGATTTAAAGAGTAAACATTAGAAAGAACTTCATGATGGTATGAGCAATCCGACAGTAGAACAGACCAGCTTGGAGTGTGATATATTCTCAACTCACTTTTACTCAGTAGACCCATAGGTCATGGCTAACTTAGTTCCATTAATTTCAATGGGTTTACTTTCGGGAATACAACTCTGTCTTCTAGCAGCCAGGGATAGATTGCAAAGTCCTGACTGATGACCAGCAAACAAGAATGAATGTTATTTTTAGCAGTGGTCTGTCTTGGGATCATTTATAGAAAAATTTCTGGTTTGCCTTTCAGCCCTCTGGGCCCTCCAAGCTCGTTTACATTTATAGCAACAAAACACTAGTCTTGGTACAATAAAAATGAGAACAGTAAAACAGTTAGAGCATGGTGCTGATAACACCAAGGTTGTGAGTTCATACGGGCCACCTGCCTGTTGGACTAGATGACCCTTGGGTTTCCTTCCAACCCTACAGTTCTATGATTCCAAAGTAAACCGACAATAAAAATCCACCAGAAGCCTGCAGAAGCCAACATATCTTGACTAAAGGCCATTACTGAATAGGCCAGTTGAACCTGTCTTGGGAGAAAAAGGGTTGCTGCTATAGAGAAGGCCCTCTCGCACGCTACCGGCTAATCTCAATGTGATTTGGCAGTGGAACATGGCAGCATTACAAATTATAAACTTCACTGTTAAAATATTAATAAATGCATCAGAACAATATCCTCCCTCCCCGCACCTGTTGTAAGTCTAACTGAAGGGCAGCAGGTGACTAATTCTCTTCAGCTTCCTCTCAACTCCGAGGAATCACTCTGAGGTAATTACCATCACCAATGACTTGTCAGGTCTGAGGAAGCCAAAAGGGAATCGCAACTTACAGGTACTCAACGAAGAGCTTCCTTCAGAAAAAATCTAAAGATAATTACCGATAGTCTTGTTTTCCTTCTTTGTCTCTCATTGCTATGGTGCGCCTAAAAAAATAAGGACAAGAAGTTAGGTTGGTTGACTGGTGCCGACAGCGAGGAATCCCCTCCTGCAGCCAACCTAGCTGACTGCTCCTTGGCAAGTGGGGTTCACTGACATTTTAAGCTTCAAATTCGTCCTTTACAGCTTCATGGTTACCTGATGTCAGGTGTGGGGGCAGGTGGCCATGGTTTGGAAAAACAGCCTGCTGGGTCTAATTTGGCCATAGACCAGAGGTTCCTCATGGCCACCCTAACAGATAGTTTGGCATTTACTGTACTCTTAGCAATTTAAATACTTATCTCCTGAACAGGCAACCCTGATTAGGGAAGCTTTTAATGTTTAATCGACTATTGCATTTTAATATTCTGTAGGAAGCCGCCCAGACTGGCTGAGGAAACCCAGCCAGATGGGTGGGGTATAAATAATAAATTATTATTATTATTATTAATCTGCCGACTTCAGTGTCTTTACATGGGAATCTTCCCACTCACAGAGACATAATCACATGATTATCTCAGTATGTAACAGGTAGCAGGGGGGAAGAAACCGAGGCGCTTTGGTGGTTGTATGCCAAGTCCACCCTCTGTAGAATTTGACTTTCAGCTTTTAAACACAAAAAGGAGAATGTGTAGAAAACCAAAACTACAAATATGGCAGAAAGCCAGATTGCCACAGGCAAGAACCATCACACAGAATTTCAAAGTACTTTCCTCATAGCTACCACATGTCCAGTGGCTGTATGAACAGGCCATGGGTCCATAATTCAAAATGATTTTGTTTAGGAACAAAGCATCAGGTATGTTCAGGGTGGCTCTGTGGCTAATAATGTTGCCTTCCTCTCAGTTGAGATTTTTTTTTGGGGGGGTATGTCCTTCCAATATGTAACAAACAATCCCCACCAATGGTAGAATGAAAAACTTACCCACGTTTAAAGTCAAAGGCTCTGGTTTCATTCAAAATAGTTCCTCCATTCTCCAGCTCTTCAATTTGCCTTTGTATTTCATAGTCTTAACAAAACAAATATATTAAGCTTAGTTGTGATGCACCTTTGCCTATTTTAAATTTTCAAACCGGGGGGAAGGGGGGAGACACACACTTTAAAACGCTTATCAATGCCAAAGTAAGCCTAACGGAAATATTAGAGAATCACAAATAAACTGAATTGCTTTCTGACATTTAATTTATACCGTTTTTGGAAGGCATAAATTTTCAACACAATCCCATTCCAAAACACCCTGAAGACATACAGCTGAAACAGTCATTCCGCTCTCATACAGAATAAGACTGACTGCACACTTTTATCTCCACCTTTATTCAAAAGGGCCTTTGTTGGACTAATTTCTTTTGGAGATCAAGAGCAAGTTCTGTGTTTTTTGACTCACCCTGAGATGCAAAAATAACCCGCATATACAGAAATATAATAAAGCTGCTTTACTCCAAGTGAAACCACTGGTCCACCTGGCAGTGACAATCCAGGATTAAACTGGAGTCCTTCTGGTTCTCCCTGGAGATGCCACAGACTGACCTTTATGTATGCAAAGCATGCGCTCTACCACTGAGCTACATATAGTGGCACTCATAAATCTTGACTGAGTCCTAGAACAGTGTTTCCCAACCTTTTTTGGGCAAAGGCACACTTGTTTCATGAAAAAAATCTCGAGGCACACCACCATGCCAGATGGGGAAAGGTCACTTTTTACTTATGTAAAAAAAATTAAAAAAATAGTAACAGCATAGAAGGTAATGGTTATCTCTTTGATGTCTGATGGGAGGGCATTCCACAGGGCGGGCGCCACTACCGAGAAGGCCCTCTGCCTGGTTCCCTGTAACCTCACTTTTCACAGTGAGGGAATTGCCAGAAGGCCCTTGGCACTGGATCTCAGTGTCTGGGCTGAACGATGGTGGCGGAGACGCTACTTCAGGTATACTGGACCGAAACCGCTTAGGGCTTTAAAGGTCAGCACCAACACTTTGAATTGTGCTCGGAAAGGTACTGGGAGCCAATGTAGGTCTTTCAAGACTGTCGTTACGTGGTCTCGGCGGCAGGTAGCAGTGCTCACAGCTTACTGACTGCACCGTGTAACAGGTGTCTGGCCCAGCAGCCTAAGGCGGACAAGCCACTGAAACAGGCATTCAGAATCCATTCATTTCATAAAACCTGCAGGGCTCAATCTCTGTGTTTGTGTATGTGTGTGTTTCTGTTTTGCCCAAGGGTCTGGGGGTGGGAGAGAGCTCTTTAGCATGATGCTTTTAAAACAATTAAATTATCAACAAACAAACCTGATGATACGAATAGCAACGTCAGGTGCTACGGGGGGGGGGGGAGAAGGGGGCCTACTCAGAAGTAAATACTGCGTCCAGGCGCAATTAGCGCTGATTTAAGGTGCACCAAGACTGCCTAAAAACCTCACCAAAGATATGCAACAAAGCGCTTCGTTGCAGAGGGGAGAGTTTGTGCACCGTGGAGGCTGGAGGGCTTCTATTCTACATGCGGGGGTTGGGGGGGCGAGGAAAATGTGCTCCGTGGTGGGGCGGGGAAGGCAAAGTTGCAAAAGCGCCCTGCTCCTTCTTCCGCGGAGGGAAACGCTCCTGCGGAGGCGAGAGGCAGCGAGGAGGCGACGAGGTGAGGCTTTTGTGAGGTAGGGAGAGGAAAGACGGGGGAGGGAACCCAAGGAGGATTTGCACGAGAGGGAATGAAGGGGAAACGCGCCTCCCACGTGGAGCACTTTTCCCCGGGAAATGCACGGGGTTGGGTCGTGGCTGATCCGTGCTGCGCGCTCGCGTCGTGCGGCCCAAAGTGCTGCAGGATCGCCAATGCAAGACCCCCTTTTAAAACCTCCCCCTCCCCCAGCTCTGGAAAAAAAGGGGGAAGGGGATGGCGTCGGCGTGCGGAGGCTGCCCGTGCCCGGCCAGGCGTCAGTGGCGGTGTCAGCGCTGCTGCAGTGGCTGCTCCTCCTGCGAGCAGTGAGTGGAGCGCAGCCGCAGCGGCGGCGGGGGGCGCGCGCGCGCTAGGGCGCAAGGCTGGCGACGGCGGCGGGGAGCCCGGCGGAGGAAGGAACTTGTCCCTTCCCTCTGGACTCGCGCCCCCCGCAGATGTTGCGCCCGGTGCGACTGGCACCCCTGGCACCCCCCACGCTACGCCACTACTCCCACGGCACACTAGGCAACGTCCGGCGGCACACTAGTGTGCCGCGGAACACCGGTTGGGAAACACTGTCCTAGAAGACATGCTTCCCCACCTGGCCTGGGACTGACTCCAGCTACAAAAGCTTAGGCTGCTGAACAGACTCTTGGGCTGAGGTATTGTTTAGGGGTTTTTGTTGTGGGGGGGTTGTTGCTGTTATATTACTATTTTTGAGTCTTTGTTTCAGATCTTACTATGATTTATGTGGAAACTGAGCAATTTGGTGGAGTACTTTTTGATGTTTTATTGATTGTTTATGACTATTTTTGTTACGTTTTGTGATTATGGTTTCCCCCCCATGTTGTAAGTGGCCCTGAGCATGGTTGTATCTATGGAAAGGCAGCATATGAACAAAATGATGTACAGTGGAACCTCAGGTTGCGTACGTAATCCGTGACGGAGGCATGTTCTCAACCAGCAGCGTTCATAACCTGCAGCGCCGCGTCTGCGCATGCTTGTGATGCGATTTGGCGCATCTGCGCATGCGCGAGCAGCAAAACCCAGAAGTAACCCTTTCCAGTACTTCCGGGTTTCCCTCAGTCCGCAACCTGAAAACACGTAACCCGAAGCATTTGTAACCCAAGATACCACTGTATGTATATCCCTGCATTGTAGGGGGTTCCACTAGACAATATTTGGGCTCCCTCCCAACTCTATGATTCTATGTAAATGTTTCCTTTCTCTATTCTGAGCCCAATAATTCTCTTGCATAGAAACACAGCAACATCCATGTGACACTCACATTGTAGATACACATTCTCTGTGGATCACACTCTTCCCCCCACCCCACTGCGTCTCTTGTGTCATCTAAGAGAATGTGGCCGTGCTACTATGGAACTAAAACAGCAAGCCATTACATTTTGCTTTCTTTGTTGCAGAGGAGGCCCCGCTAACAAAAACCCACCAATCAATTGCCAGCCAAGAAATTATACTTTCCCTGTATTATAACACCACATTTCATGCATGTGCGCACACCTAATGGGCTAACATGCAATATAAGGTAATAACTTAAAACAAGGAAAACAGAATTAAGAAGAACAAATTAAACCAGCATGCTTGCATTTCAGCCAATTAAGTACCATTTAAGTAGTTTGCAGGCACCTGGTCCTATTGATTACAGAAGTGATGGTACAAGCAGCCATTCCAAACAAGGAAGGCAGCAAAGAAGTTATGTTCCCGGTCAAGGTCTCCTCCCCCAAAGGCTCGTTCCAATCACTGTATTTCTAGACCATCTGTGGCCAGGGGCAAAAGCTACACCCCAGTCACACAAAAGCCAAAGGTTTCTACACACAGAGACCGCTATTAACGCAAAACATTATTACAGTTCACAATGATGGATTTCAGCTAGGCTAAAAACATCAAAACAATGCATGCAACTTAGAGGTAGCAGGTTTGTATATATTATTAGCATAACCTGCCCAGTAACAGAAACTGATGTGGTTTTTTCTGGCATGGGATTCCAAACTCCCTGCCCAGATTTTCATTTGGGAGGAAGTGCTTCACTTACCTATGGCCTTGGCAAGAAATCGGGCACTGTTGATATTCTTCACTTCAGTCCTCACTCCAAGACGTTCTCCAGGGCGATGCACGGATACATTGGCATCTACTCTCAGTTGACCCTCTAAAGAGATATCAGCAGTAGAATGAGATTTCATCAAATGGAATTAATCCCACATTATCTGCAATTGGTTTGTACAGGGCTTCCAGTAAAAAGTTTGGGACAGGACATGGATTAGCTGTCCCTGAAGTGAATCAAAGGGCCATTTCTTCCTTCATGCCTGCATCTTTCTACACCTGAAGATCTAACAAGAAGGGATTGACAGTTCTGTCAGGGGCAACACACACACACACACACACACACACACTGGAATCTCTTCTAGAGATTTGTCCCAAGTCGACATTTCTTATCTGTGAAACAAGCACATGGACATCCCTCTCAAGATAGCAGATGCATACATCTTAAGACACAGAAGCAATTGAGAGAATACCCAACCGTTTCAGAAATCAAATGGAATGAAGCTCTTACATCATTTCCAAGCTTCTAGACTCATTTTGAATAGACTTCAAGTCATTGCTTCAGAGCTATATGGGATTTCTGCAGTCATAGTCTATTTTTTTAAAATAAAAAAAATAGAGGACATGCTCCCCATTAAGGTTTTGTAGCTCAGATACAAATTCCTGGCAAGACTACATAGCACAGAGAACTGCGGCACAACATTTGGAATCTACTGTGCAAACTTTGTGCAATGTGACACCTCCTTTAATCAGACTTTGTTTCTTGAGGTTTTAACCAAACTAATAGTTGTACACGAAGGTCCTTTGATGATCCTCCCTAGGAAGAGAAGAGAAATCTGACCAAAGTCCCTAAAGGCAAGCAGTGAAACCACAAAACGTCAAGACAGAATATGGCTTTTGTCTAGTATGAAACTATCATTTGAGGAGTTCACATGGCTCTGTCACAAAGCCAATTACTGCTCAGGGCAGATTTACTGAAGTGTCCTTGAAAATTTACGCCTCAAGGACAGGTGTCAGAAACCTGTTTTTGCCTTCCCTGCAAGGAACTGTAATCTTTGCCACAAATACAATTTCGAAGCCTTCCCAGCTGCCAAAAAGTGTCATACATATAGCCCTGTAGAAAGTGATGCAGAGGGCAATCTCCTGCAAAAGAGAAAGCTGGGGTAGAAACACCACAACAAGCCTTTTCGAGTTATTATTCTTTGCTTTTCCACATCCTTTTAAAAACAGGTATCTAACAGTCTGGCAACCAATATAACACCCTCCCCAATAAATGCCATCCCGCTAAATGACACAGAACACACACTTTTGCATCTTCCTTCTTATCAACACTTAAGTTAATGCCCTTTAAAGTGAAGCAAATATTGGATATTTACACAAAGCAGTAAACAGCACTGGAATTGCATTTGTAAAGGATAAAAACTGATTGTCCAGCCAGAGTTAAGTCTTCTCAAGGGCACTTTCCAAAGGCTCCCATTCTATATTTTTGTGAAGAACACTAGGCAGGAAAAGTGCTGGAGGACAGCGCCCTTCCTTTTAAGGCGTTCTCACAAAGCACAGGCACATGGATGCAGTGTGTTTTTTTCTTTAAAATGTTTAGGGGGTACTCTCATTTTGACTCAAGAAAATCACCATTTTATAGTTCAAACTCGGGAAAAATAAATACAGTAAATGGAAAAAAAGTACAAATATTCACAAAATGTTTAGGGGCATGTGAACCCCTGCATCCCCCCAGGGGGAAAAAAACACTGCATGGATGCAAGGAAATCTCATTGCCAGAATGATGGATGACTGCATGCTGCTGGTTTAGTTGTGGGTATGGATCTGTTTCTCCTCTGATCAACAGCTTCTGGCATACTTCACACATGGCGATTTTTATATTACAGTAAAGTATGAATACTGTAAGTGTGAAGTATGAAATTGCATGAATACAACAAACTTGTGTTTGCAAGCACGTCTATCAAACAAGCACATCTGTCAGAGAGCTAGACTGCTTAATAAACTGATTGGCTCAATAAATTGATTGGCTAATTTATGAATAAAGGAAGATATGAAGTTTCACCTAGCTCAGTACTGTCCACTCAACATAGTTTCAGGCAGACCTATCTGGAGATGTTCATGAGCCAACACATACAGGAGTTCCTCGGTAGGCTTGTTAATGTGAAAAGGGTCCCCTCAAGACAGAAGGCCTGAACATCACTGACTGAAGCCATTGGACCTCTTGCTTATATTGAGAGCTATATACACAACCAAATCTGTGGTTGTGTATGTATTGCACAAGCGCAGGAACCCAAACTCAGCACCAACCAAGCAAACAAAAAAATCTGCATCTTGTCCTTGAGACACATTTCATACTCCTATGATTCTACAAAATATCTATATGTAAGTAAAGATAAAGGTAAAGGGACCCCTGACTGTTAGGTCCAGTTGCGGGGTTGCGGTGCTCATCTTGCTTTATTGGCTGAGGGAGCCGGCGTACAGCTTCCAGGTCATGTGTCCAGCATGACTAAGCCGCTTCTGGCGAACCAGAGCAGCGCATGGAAACGCCGTTTACCTTTCCGCCGGAGCGGTACCTATTTATCTACTTGCACTTCATGCTTTCGAACTGCTAGGTTGGCAGGAGCTATATGTAAGTACATTTCCCCAAATCCTGAGGACTAGAAATATTTCTCTTAAAAAAATATTGTCAGATATTCTATGCCCAGGACCAAATTCCACAAGGCAATAATGAAACTGTAGAGTAACTGAAACTCTGCCTGCATTCCCTAAGACTTGAAATTGTATTTGTATTGAGTGGAAGTGAATCTCTGCTACCTGTTCCCTTGGCCCACATCTCATTTGTGGTTCTGCTATGTCCTTTATCACAATGCTCTTTCTGGATTAAGTGTCCATTAAGCAATTGCATGTTCTTAGACTCCTAGCTGCAGATGAACTACTTATTGCTTACCCTTTGACAGGTCATACCTTCATCTTCATTTTTAGTTGACTTCAAAGTCCCACTCTTGTAGGTAGCAACCATGTGCTCAATCTACTCCTGGAGACTCTACTAGACCCAAGGGCACGGCATGGCAACCAGACAGCTAGCATCTCCCCCCAAATGCCTTCACCTTTCCTGATTATCTTGCAATGAAGCCATGTACCTGATCTAGGCACACTGCAGGTACCTGCTACTGAAAGGATGGATGTTGAATTCAGCCTTTGTCTCCACACTCAATTGGAAGATAGATAAGGCAGGAAGGGGCAAACTTATCCTCAATGAGAAATAGCTCAGATAATACAAAAGTAGCCTCTGTATCAGTGGCTGAAAAATGAATGTGGCTGAATCTGATAAGACTGCAGGAAAAAAATACCACTAGCAGACAGAGGAGCAAATGGTGCAAGCCCCACAAGAATTTCACAGCCAAAAATCCACCATTGGAAAAAAAGGGATGCAAATTAATGTGCATTCCCTGAAAATTATATCTTAAGGAATATGCTCTGTGTCAAGGCTTATGGGTGCTTGCTCCTTCAGTTAAGTGTTGAAAATAAAAAAGAAGTCATCACAAAGAATACCTAAAAAGATGCCTTGGGCACCATTCAATACAAAAGCAGGAAACAAATGGAAACAAATAAATGATAAAAAGGATAAAAATCAATGAAACCTCTTCCAGGTTAAGCTGCTTTCCTGAAAAAGTTCTTAGAAGCAACTGACACCAGCAGCAGCAGGAGCTATTGCAACGGTAAGCAGAGGAATTGGTGTTAGAGAAGGCAGCAGAAAGCAAGGGAAACCTCAAGTAAACTGACAAGGAGTGGCAGGCGCCATCATCCACTCCATGCCCCACTGAGGGTTTATTTGGAAGGCAGCTGCCCTATTTAAGTGGCTACAATTTTTCTCTGCTGATGATTTCTGAACAGGAGGGGCAGAAATAAGCAACGGTGCTGTCCACTGTTCAGAAGCGCAGAGCCCACAGCAGACAGCGTGTTTCCTCCTAAATAATTATTGCTGCTTTCAGCAACTGTGAGGCTGCATGCAAAGATGAGAATATGAAGGAAAAGGGGAGGTGCAAAGATGCACACAATATAATAAGGAATTGAGTGTGAGAGATGTTGATGCTTATTCATGTCCTCCACTATAGTAGTTTGTGGAGATCTTGATCTAGAATGAATTCTGAGGTGCTGGATGAATCCTAATATGCAATTGGTATATGTACACATACGCATATACTCTACCATGTTAAGTGTTTGATATCAAACCACCCACTTCTACCCCCATCGCTTGATCCTCCCTCCAAACCCTCCCAGGATTGCTCCCACATAGCTGAGGTGAGCCCAGAGATTAACAGTCGGGTTGCAACTGCAGTTGTTCAAAGATTCTGCATCACAGCATCACTTGGAAGGAAGGCAAGCAGGCAAGGGGAGGGGGAAGGAAGAAGCAGCACAGAAGCCATCAGTCATTCCCTTCCTGCTAAGATTTATTATGTAAAATTTAGAAAGGCCTAGGAGTACAAAAGAATCTGAGCTGAAGATGCGGCAGCTGGGCCCCTCTCAGGCACCAGAGGCGCAAGTGACCTTAATTCAGAATCAGAAGATTTTGATGAAGGAAAAAAGAAACCAAAACACAACACGGCACCACAACAATACCGAACGATAAGCAGCTGGAAGGCAAAGTAAGTAAGATGCCGTGAAAGTGCCTTTGTGAGAGGAAAATTACAGCTGAGGAATGATAAACATGCCCTCCTAGGTCTCTACCTGCCATGTTTGCTTGGCTGCTCCCAAGAGCCTGCAGGATAAGCTGAAGCTCTCTCACTGCTGCAGCCGCCTCTTCCCCACAGCACATGTCGGGCTCCATGACAACCTCCATGAGGCCAACTCCTACCAGAGACAGACAAGAAACTCTGAGCAGCAGCTTTTGATCTCATGTAAACAGTTCAGACATTTAAAAAGAAGAGCCCATGTGAAAAGTGCTTAAGCTTTTGTGTGAGGAGAAACTGGTAATCATTTATTATTTAATCACTGTCAAAACACTTGGATCTGCAGAACCGGCACACGAACGCTCATTTCCCTCTATCACCAAGAGAAAAAATGAGGTCCAACATTTTTCAAGGGGAAAGCAGACAGCTCAAAAGCAGTGTTGAGTTGATTTAATATTTGTATCCCGCTTTTCCAGCAACAAATGTTGAGCACAAAGAGGCTCGCAATAATTGCAGTAGCATTAAAACAAACAAACAAACAAACAAACAAACAAACAAACAAACAAACATTGCAATCACTATAACATCAAACACATTGGCATGTAAAAGCAAATGATGAGAACAAATTCATCAAGTAATAAAATTCAACAAAGTGTACAGACAAAATTCAACAGACCCATAGTATTGCCAAGACACTTCCTAATTTTGGGCTAGGAGAAGGTTCTGAGACAGCAATTCCTCTCTATTGTGTTTGGCAAAAAATAAAATATAAAAAATCAGGCCTGGCAGCACAGGCCACTGAAAAACAGAATTGGCAGCAAGACCCAGCAGGTGGAAGGTGCTTAAACTTCCCCCAACAAACCTCAATCTTTCCCCTACTCAAAACAGTAAGCATGTATGTATGGGCTGAGATGTTATGGTTCAGCATCTAGGCCATATTGTGTCACACTCAAGATATTGTATCAATCCGTCATCTCACACTTTCCCATTCAGTTCATGTCTAAAGCCACACTCTTCCATTCGCACTCCTGGCGGGAAGAACCTGGGCTTGAAGAACAGCTCTTTCTGTGTGTGCCTGAGCGTGTATGAAGGATCCAGATTCACCTTAGAAAATGGCAAACACAACTATCATCCAGAGTCCCATCCCTGGATTTACTGCCAGACATGCAGACCAGCTGTAAGAAAGGCATGCTCTTGATGCCTTGATCAAGCCAGCCTTTCAGTTTGTGTTTGTGTGTGCAGAACAACTTGCATAAGGAGGTAACACTGACAGCGTCAGATAGAAGCACAGAATGCTGCTGCCTTTTCCCTTTTAAAAAATATAAATAATAGTTACATAGACAAAAGAGTATCAAACCTACCTGCCCTGTTCAAATCCACAAGGGTCTGGCTCCTTAAATCATCATGAAGACTCTTTCCACTGTCTTGCTCCAACTGTATCTGCTTGATCCTCACACTCCTGGTAACCATTTCATTCTGGTTTTTCCCCTTGCGCAGAATGTATGACAAGTTCCCATTCACAGCAATGGGAAGCCTTTGCTGAGTGATCTGATAGCCGGCCTGCATTTAAAATTGCAGCAATCAACAATTTTAAAATGGTCATATATCAACTTTATATTCCAATAGATGGCCCTTTTCTCTAAGCAATTATTAACAACAAATTCATGCAATACACATTAAAGACTCAGTGTAATCTTTCCCCTTTGCTTTCCCCTCAATGATTACTTTTTAAACCTAACAGATGACAAGTGACAAGAAGAAACAGGCATTCCATTTTCTGTCTGAAGCCCCATTTTTCATATCCAACCGTCCAAAGATCTCCAAAGTAGCATTTATCTTATCTACATGTGTAATAAAACTATGAATCTCATTACAGGCTCTGATAATGCTAGCTTAGGGCAGTTTTGCATAAGAAAAACAACCTTGGGGAGTAGGATTGAACTGGCTGACAGAAGGGTCAAGTATCCTCTCCCGCCTGCTATCTCTCCCCTTCACATAAGTCACACCCTGCGTCAGTGTTCTACCCCATTTCCCCCTCATAACAAACTGGGCATTGCACACTTAACACACTGTATGGCAAGAGAAAAGGGGCAGACTGCATGTGTTTTGAGCTAACAAAATGTGACTTCTATTGTTTTGTTACAGTGTAATAATACTTTATTACCCTTTTGTGTGTCATATGTGAATGTACTGAATATAGATTGTGGGGCTAAATTATAGGGAGCCCTGGCTAAAATTAAGGCTTGTGTGTGTGAACCTCAAAGGGAAACTCCAAACCCTAATGAATGGCTTGATAGTTCTTCTATTTCAAGTTGAACCACAAGCAGAACCCCTTTTAAAATGCTCAAAAAATAACAAACAGAATTGGCAGTCAACCTCTCTTTAATCAACACCCAGAATGGAATTTTGTTGTTTATTTTCATATGGTCTTTGTATACGGTACCATGAGCACACTTTCAAATTCCCACTCACATATAAACTTGCAACAGTCAAAGTAGACAATCATGGATCCCCCACCCACTTGCTAAGGTTTAAGAGGAACCGCATGGCTTCCCGCCCCCCCCTTGTTTTTAGGCTAAAAACCACTTGTGGTCTCTGCATGTGCATACTGCATCTCTTCCCAGTGGAGCCCTCATCAGCCTCAGGACCAGTAGTTCTGACTGAGAAAACAGCATAGCAACAAAGGCTAATCACCTTTTCCCCAGCTCCACAACTCTTCCCCATGGCAGATTTTATACTTTTAAAAAGGCCAGGTGATTTGATTAGAGATCTCCCACATCATGTTTAGTTTGGCCTAGGTGACCTTTGGCAACCTCTATCTCTTAATCTAATCTACCTTGGTTTATTTACAGGTGTCGAAGTGAACAATGACAGCAACTTAGTAGGGGGTTTTCTTACTAAGGAGATACTCCCTTCCTGCCATTGCATCCCATCCCCAGAATATGGGGCAGTGGTGGGGAACCTATTGTGGCCAAATTTGCCAAGTAGGTGAGGCCAACCACTTGTCAATCACCTCACCTTATAGTGATATCAGGTGATGCTGCCCTCTGAATACCATATTGGTAGGACTTTCAAACAGTCCTTAGTAAACAACCCACACTGCTCGCAGGAATGTTTACAAAGGGCTTTCAAAGAGCCCTTGTGCTCTTCCTTCAAACTTCCACAAAATGGAGGTTTGAAGGCACACTGCAGTGCACATATCCAAACTGCTTCTTCAAATGGATGCATGATATTAGGTGGGTCATGGCTTTCCCAAAATGGCCAGGTGGGCACAGGCTGGCTGGAGGTTCTCCACTCCTGATGCAGGTATTTTCTGCAGAGAGCAGAAAAACTATCATGGATCTTTAGCATTACAATTGTGGCTTCAAGGAAAAACAAAGGCCCCTATTTAAATTTTAAAACGATAAATCCTGACTGTTTGATGAATTTGAATGGACGGGTTTCACTTTAGATCTGAGCTTTGCCTCATTATGTTTGAAAAAGCAAGTCTGGTCCTAATATAAGTGCCATCTGTAATATCAGCAGGTAATACTGCATGATTTTTAAAAGTCTTCTTCATTTGCTTTTGCGATCAGCAACATGTAAAAACAGGATGTTGCATTTCAGATCCTTTAAAGTAACGGGGACTAATGCCTGTGATGTCTACAGGACCATAATGCAGATTTGTAATACATTTGTTTCAAACGCAAAGATCAATATCAGACTGTTTGTCTTAACCCCAACAGACAATTAGAGGGAATAGAGGAAGTCTGGCCCTAGCAGCGCCTTCTCTCAATTTAATTATCCAAAGCCATTGGAAACATGAGGCGCAGGACTGCAGTCAGCAATCAGGACAATCACCTTCAATCAGAAAGAGCCTGGCTACAGCTGCCTATTCATCAGGGCTCAGTGCTTGGATGGGCAAAACAGTGGCAGAGAACAAAAAACCATCTCTTCTCCCAGCCTGTTTTCCCCATCAGTTCTCCAGGCTTGCCCCTCATCCGATTTGCTGAGGGACAAAGCTCAATACATACTCACAGGCAGATCTGCATAGAAATAGTGTTTCCTGTCAAACAAGGACTTCTTGTTTATGGTGCAGTTCAGCGCAAGGCCCGTCATCACTGCGGCTTCTACACATCTCCTGTTGAGAACCTAAAGAAACATGACAGATGACTTCACTCAGATACCCAGTATGAAACAAATGCCTCTCCCACACACTGCCTTTTAAACAGCGCACATTCCACTTTGCTTGCCTTCAAGAAGCATTATCTGTCTTTTTCGTGCGTGGGAAGCTCAGCCTCAGCAGCAAGACGCTGGAGCATTATGCATGTATCTTCCCATGCCAGAGTGAGTGGGGTGGAAGCGGCTGCTCAGGGACAGAAACATGCTTTGAACATATGGCACATCCTAGGTTTAAGGTTTTGGTTCCCACCCTTGCCAGCTACTGATGTAAGTGAAAAACAGGCAAGGGTCAACTCGCAGGAAGGGGTTCCTATAGCGCTACAGTAAAGCTCAAATGCTTCAGAAGGCAATTGAGGACCAGAGCAACATGGGACATCTTTCCAGGCATTCTCTTTGTGTCATTTGGATTTGAAAGACCAAGGAAAAGTGTGGATACACAGAGGGTAAGAGGCAAGCAAGTGTAATTTCTGACACTGCACAAAATCATTTCTGATCGTGGGGCACAGATAAGCCTCACAACATGCAAGAAATAAAAGTGAAATCCAGCGTCGAAACCTAGGTCTTATCCACACCATATATTTAAAGCCGTTTTATCAAGCACGGCTTCCTCCAAAGAATTCTGTGAAATGTAGCTGTGAAGGGTGCTGGGAACTGTAGCTCTGTGAGGGGCCTCCTGACAAGTCTCAGCACCCTTAAAGTACAGTTTCCGGAATTCTCGGAGGGAAGCCATGACTGTTAAAGTCATATAACAGTGCTTTCAGTGTATGCTGTGGGCATGGCCCTACTCTCCATTCTCATGCCAAGGGATGTCAATTTATTTATGTGCCAACTCACCTTCCAAATCCTCATGATTTGGAGTGGAAGGGGAGGGGGACACTCAGACTGACTATTTGATAACCCTCAAAATCAGATTTCCAAAATTCTTCTAATATAAGGACAGGGGTATTTATTTGTTCAGGCCAGGTTAATAAGTCAGGCGTGGAGAACCTGCAGCCCTCCAGATGTTGTTGTGCTCCAATTCTGTTGTCGGCCCCAGCCAACATGGTCAATGGTCCAACACTGTTGCCGTTGTATCCGGAGGGCCATAAGTTCTCCATCCTTCCCTTAAATTAAACGGAAAGAAATCACCAAGCTTCCTTTAATATGGAGCTTCAACGTGTGCCTATTGTCACCGATTTCAAATGGCAACTGAACTGCCATTATTCTGTGCTCCATCATAGTATAGGTGTCTGGAATAGCAAGATGAAGAAATTATTGCTGTTCTGCAAGGAACTTCCTCCACTTCAAACGTTTTCTTTCCTCCTCCCCTCTGCCATGGCTTTCTTCGTGGAGGATGTAATGCCCGTGCTTTCTAGGACAGGAGCATCAACGTGTAGAAATGTAAGAAGCTGTGTTGTATTTAGTCTGAGCATTGGTCCATATAATAAAATAATGTCTACACTGACTGGCAGTGGTTCTTCAGAGTTGTAGACTTTTGCAGCCGTACTCAGTGGCACCGAGGATTGAACCTGGGATTTTCTGCATATGCAAAGCAGATGCTCTACCATTGAGCAATGGCCCTTTCCAAACAAAAAGCCAGTCTGTAAATAGGATGCACAGTTCCGAATCTTTCCTGAGATATATACCACTTGGCTATGATATGTGTCAAGTCTTAGTCCCCTGCCCCAAGGAATTCAATGATTTGGCTTTAGAATTAACTCAGTCCTAGAAGCAAGGTCCGTATAGTTAAAGCTATGGTTTTCCCAGTAGTGATGTATGGAAGTGAGAGCTGGACCATAAAGAAGGCTGATCGCCAAAGAATTGATGCTTTTGAATTATGGTGCTGGAGGAGACTCTTGAGAGTCCCATGGACTGCAAGAAGATCAAACACATCCATTCTGAAGGAAAACAGCCCTGAGTGCTCACTGGAAGGACTGATCCTGAGGCTCCAATACTTTGGCCACCTCATAAGAAGAGAAGACTTCCTGGAAAAGACCCTGATGTTGGGAAAGATGGAGGGCACAAGGAGAAGGGGACGACAGAGGACGAGATGGTTGGACAGTGTTCTCGAAGCTACCAGCATGAGTTTCACCAAACTGCGGGAGGCAGTGGAAGACAGGAGTGCCTGGAGTGCTCTGGTCCATGGGGTCACGAAGAGTCGGACATGACTAAATGGCTAAACAACAACAGATGCAACCCAAAATCTGAATCTAGTAAGGTAATGAGATATAGACATACACTTGAAGGAAAGATGGCATATAACAAAAAAACAAAAAACTAGGATGCTGGTAAACCTTTTGTGTAACTGGTATGGCTTCTTGGGTGTTCGCTATACATTTGAGAAAACTGTTGAGCCTAAAATAAAAATGTGTAAAATACAGCAGAAATGTTTAAAGAGTAGCAGAACGGGATCCAATTAGTCCTGACTTGTAGACCAAATGAGAGATTGCCAACACTGTTGAAGTATTAAATTGTTTTAGTGTCAAAATAATGGTTTCCTATGCAGGAAGTGTTTCTGGTGTCAGTTGTAAATTTTCTCTTCTACAAAATAAAAGAATATCCATAATTGTCTCTCTCCTGGCATTTTACATTTGTTTTTAACTGTTCAGCTATCTTAAGTATCTGCATGAAACTGGAGCCTTTCTTTTTGCCACTTGGGTTTCATCACTGTTCTATTTTAAAGTATTTCTAGAGTTTTAAAGGGTAAAACATACATTTAACTTAGCTGAAAGCTTCTGACCACTTGTGTGGGTTTCAGTGAAAACAGTGCTTCCACACCAACAGCACACAACTCTGGGAACCATGATTTATTAATTTGGGGGGAAAGTAAGCAGTAAAAGGTATATAAACAATATGTCTGCTAGTGGCACAAGCAAGCACATTTGGGCAGCTGCTATACTGATCCTACAAGAAAAGAAGGACAACAATATGCAATTGTTTATACATGTGTATGTTTAGGGTAGGCCAATGGGTTATTTTGGCAAAGTAGCTTAATGCCAAACGTGTGTGTTTGTGTATCTGTGGAGAGGAGAGGAGATGAGATCTTTAATCCCAAACTGGATGAACTTCCAATTTGGGATTCCCAAAATCCACGGTTTTACAGAAAAAAACTAAAACACCAAAAAAAAACACACCCAGGAAACTTAAATCTAATATAGATGTTTAGGAGCTATTACAAGTTTATTGATTCACTAATCTACCACAACTGTGTTGTTAGAAAGCAGCTCTTGCATAATAAAGCCCTCAAATATTGGCGTTTGTGGAAAAGAGAAATTCAATAAAAGCAGTCCTGCATTACCAGCACAAATTGGAAAAAGAGATGTTCTCAGTGCTAATCATCAATGTGCATGTATTGGTTTAGTTCAGTGAATGGGCTGGATCCTTCTTCCAGATAAATAACCCATCACATTCAATCCCTTGCTACCTCAAATGAGGTGCCATTAATAATTACATAAGGGATTTGCCAAAGTTAATAATGAACTGTCCTCTTTATTTTTTATTCTGCCAATGCAAAACTAATTTAAGACAGATCAAAGAAATATTTAGATGCTGTAGTACAGAATAATGAAGACCACAAAAAAATCCCATTTGCAGACACAAGACCTTTTCCAGTAAACAAAATGATTCTTCCTCAATGTTCAGCTGTAGACATCATTCCCCAGGTGACAGATTAATCTAAATTAATTAACTATTGATATGGAACTTCAGGTTCAAAATAATTAAGCTCTACACTCTCCTGGTTTAACTTTTCCCCAGCTATAAAAAATGTTGGCACACAACTAGGATTGCAAAAGTCTCAGTGTTGACCTCATTTGGCACCTACTGAAGTTGAAATCAATATAAAATTCATAGTAACCAAGTGAGTAGATTTAAGCTGGCTAAACATTACACACCCATTTCATGAAAGACCCTGCTTGCTACTTCAAGCAGGAACACCAAATTCATGGCACAAATGACCAAACTCTCCATCCAGCAAATGCCCAGTGGCCATATGCAATTTTTAAAAAGCAAAACAGCCAACTTGGTAAAAGTGTAGCCAAACAAGGGATTAATTTCATGGTATAGCGAAATTCAAGCTGGAGACACCCCAATCTGTAGCGCTCTCAAGAAATGCACCGTGCCAGCTTTAAAACTAGGATTTCAGAAATATTTTTAATGTGGATTGTTAGTGGGATGGTGAGGTGGTAATTAGGAATTGTTACCTTGCAGGTTTTAGGAAGAGTACACCAGTGAACTCCAGAGAGTCACACGGGGCCATTTGCCTCTGTGAAAGAGCCCAAAGTATAAGGCCATCTTCCCTAACTGGATGCAAGCCCCAACCCTATGCAGCCAACTTTGTGTGCATCAGGCATCGTCAGTGTACCATTACTACTAATGCCCAACCAGTGGGCATATATCTCTGTGTGAGCTGTATGACTTTTTGGGAGATTTGTAGCTAAACATATGGGCTGCCCTTCTGGCAAAAATGCCTCCCAAGACAACCACCCATATAAAGTAAAACATAACATTAAATGCATTAAAATCACTTAAAACAATCTCTTCTTGTATGTCCATGAGTTCTCCATTTTGTTTCAGTCTGTCTGAGAGTACAATGAAGTTCAAAGCAGAAGAGATGCACGATGTATGTTCTCTCACCACCCACCCCTCCTATGGGGATAATGGCTTTGAATGAGTGATCTAGATTTGGACAATGATGCAGGTAAAGTGTTAAATCTCACCTTTCCCAGCACCAGTCTCAATTGCCTCTCCTGCATGACTGCTTTTAATGCCCACCTCCCCAAAAGTCCTCCCCACAGATGATTAGTTAGAAGATCTCCTGGTGTCTGTTTTCCAACCTTTAACAGTGCTGGGAAAATGAATCTGCTATAAGAAAGTTTGGCAATTACTGCATAAATATAAACAGTCTTGTGTTTAAAACAACTGAAATTTTCATATGCAACTAAAGTATCTAAAGGACTACTTCTTCCATCTGTTAACTTTAAAGCAGACAGAATTTTAAGCCTAAAACAGATGCCAAATCACATCTGGAATAATACTCCATTAACTAAATTGTGCAACCATTAAGATGTTCATGCACACTAAAGTACCCTGTTAAAATGAGGAAGGTACCATTACTCTTGCCTAAAACCATAAAATAAAATAAAACCTATGAAGCAGTAATACTAATAAATAAAAATAGAATTCCGTATCACATTCTGACACTCAAGTACTAACATTTTTAAATATCCACTTTCAACTTATCTACCAAAAACTGCAAAGGAAAATATATTTTTTTCTTTCCCTCTCCTTGCACAGATAAAAGCCTCTGCTGGAGGTGAACAAGAGCAGATCACGAATTTTTCATTAGGTTAGCCATCAAGCTGACTACTAATCAGGAGCTCTTATCTCAAAGGAAGGCTGTTTCAGCTTAGGCTCAAGATTTCTCACTAGGGAACAACTGTAAAAGGAACAACCATTTCTCCTTAAAATGTACAGAAATCCAGAAGAATATGGCAAGATGCATGCAGGCTGCTCTCACACATATCCCGTGTGTGCTTAGGGACAACCTTCACACGTAACTTTATTTTGCTTTATTTATTTATCCAGGCACTTCTAAGGTGTTATGTATGTTTATATTTATCAGGATTAACGCTCCCAAGGTACCTCACAACATACAACTTTATTGGTTTAGATACAGCAAAAATACACTGTACCACAACACACACTCATTTTTGCCTGATGTAGGCAATTCTGATGGACAACAGCTCTACAACACTTCAGATGGGGTGTTCCTAAGTCATAACCCAGGACCCTGCTACAAGACACATCAACAGCTGCATCCAGGAATTTTTGTTTGCATAGCACAGGCTCTGTTACAAATAAAAAATAGCATAAAAGTCATATTTGCTTCCCAGAAGAGGTCCAACTACATTTAACTGTCATACACGTACAACAAAACCATCAATGGGTTTTATCCATTTATGCCCTTAGCAGAAAATGATACCAATTTCTTGCCAATCCCTCCTACTTACTGCAGCCCTCTCTGCTGTGTCCCATTCTGGGTTCAACCATCATTAACAACTCGAAAGGGAGAGAACAGTTGGCTTAATTGGGTTAGGGGGAGACGGTTGAAGATGGGGGTGTCCCAACTTATGTGAATGGAAGCACTTTATGCAAAGGCAAAAGGCACCATTGGATACCACCCAGTAGGGTTAAGGCTTTTTCTTCATGCATACTTAGTCTGTCCAAAATAAGGAATATAACAATACTACACTATGCTGAAAGCTGATTGGCCACACCTGGCAGTATCTCTCTCCACATGCAACTTGTTCAGTATCCAATAATCTCATTGCAGCAGATGCCAGCCTCTTGTGGAGGGACATGGCTCAGCTATACAACACATGTTTTGTATGCAAAAGGTCCCAAGCTTAACTCCCAGCATGTCCGGGGAGGACTGGGGAAAAGTAGGCCAAGTAGACAATGGTGAGCTAGCTGGTCCAATGGTCTGACTTGGTGTAAGGCAGTTTCCTATGTTTCTATACATACCTACAGATAAACACAAGCCAAGGTAATCTTACTGCATCCCACCAAAGAACTTATGCTGGAGCACTAAAAGGCCAGAACCTAATTTGCGTATTAAAATAAGTCAATAATTTCAAACTGCTTGGCCAAATTCTATACTTTGGTTAGGAAATCAGCCAGGAAGGCTCACAATCTTCCACTCACTTGCAGGCATAGGGCAAGTTTCGAAGTAAGCATTCAGATGGCAAACTACCCGAAGCTCACGTTGTAGAGTGCTATGGCAGCAGGGAAACACCACCTTGCCGTAAAAGGCCAGCAGTGTTTAAAGCTGAAGGAAAATCAGAGCCTGATGTGGAGACAGTGGCTCTACCAAGTCCAGAGAACCAAACCCATATTACTTTCCCTGTTGTAGCAGGAGAAGCAAAGGAACAATTTCTATTAAGTCTTGGGGGTGCATGTGAGTCAGCTGTAAGGACAGTTGTCCTTTTTTTGTTATTAAGCTTATTATGAGTACATGTAACATGGATGGTGCTCTGTTAAATAATGGTCATTTATCTGAAGTGGTTATATTTGTATCCTGCTTTTTAGACAAATATTGTATGCCAAACCAGCTCATACTAATATTTAAAAAAAAGAAAGTGAGACAAGAGGCACTGCCCTCTAGTTTACAAATTTAAAAAGGCAAGATTACACAAAAAGGAATCAATGTGGAGGGAGAAGGTAGAGGGAAATTAAGTGGCCAGTTGCAAGCTGCTTGTTCCTTCTTAGATAGAAGTGTTTCAACTGTCTAGTATCCCTTTTAAACATTACCTGAAGAATTAATGGTGGCCACCTGTTCCTGTTTGATAAGACAGACTTTGTTGTTGAAAATTCAATACTAATATAAGAATTCAATTCAAACTTACAGGTAGAGTTCCAGGTAGAGAAGCATCAAAAAAAGATACTAAGGAGTTAGGTGCTGCTGCAAACTGGACTTGTGAACCAGAGAAAAGCTTTGAGTTGGAGCAGATCTGTGCATGAATTTCCAGGCCTACCACTGCTGCCCAGGGAACATTCCTAAAAGAAAGTCAAAAGAAATATTCACTAGCTGGGTTGATGCAATTCAAATTTCTAAAACAGCTGGGGTGTGGTGTGGTGGAGAATACAAATGTCAAAAGTATCAGAGTTCAACAGTATGCTGGAGCACACTACAAGCCCACAACTGCTGTATAATGAACATTGAAAGATGTTGTGAAATGTTTTCATAAACAGCTGAAAATTGTACAAAAAGCAGCATGTTAGAAGACAAAAAGAAACCCACGTCCTGAAAGCCTTACATTGATTTAAAGTGCATTTCAGAAGTTAATTTTATCCAGAAAGGTTTTGTTGGACAGGTATCCAATTTTGTACCCAGTGGAGATTATGAAATAGAAAATAAATATTAATTGATATCCTTCTATGTATGAGAAATCTCCAACAGACAGGTGGCATATTCAATTATGCATATGCTGTCAGATGGTCACTTTCAAGCTGGGAAAGGTGGGTCTACAGAGCACTATTAGTACTGGATTAGCATAAACATCAGTAGTCTGGCAATAGAGAAATCATCTTTTCAACTCAAGAGATGGTTCTCTGAACACGAAGAACAAGCACCTTCCTATCTGCTGAAAAGTAATTGCAGCTCTCACATCCATAATCTTTATATGAGCAAGAGAACAGTCACCTTTACTGCCTGAACCGCTTGACAGGTTCTGGAAGTAATTATCTGGACTTGTACAAAGAAAAGACACAAATATCATATTTCACTGGTGAAGTCAAGCTTACGCCGTAGCTATGACAGAAGTACTTAGATCAAGATGGGAGATTAGGAAAGCAGAAAAGCTCTAAGCAAATACATCAAATATAGTGCTTCTTTCAAACATTAAAACACTTAAAAAAAACCAACCAAGACCAAAGTTCTGTTTCTCTATCATGGAATTATTCAAACAAAGTGAGCTTCCTATTCTCATCTCATTTATTATGAAAAGTAATTAGGAGTTATTGTTGAATATTGTTTGAAGTTACTAGTCTGCTTAAATTCAAAACATATCGGTGGGGGAAAAGGATGCAAAAGATCTGGGTGGGGTACCTGTGGCCCTGCAGGTGTTACCGGATTCTCACTCCCATCATCCCTGACTACTGACCAGGCTGGCTCAGATTTATAGGCGCTGAAATCCAACAATAGCTGGAGGGCCACAGGTTCCCCATCCCTGGGATATTTATTCAACAGAACTTCACAGAATAAATTATGGATCAACATGCATTTAGAAAACATTAGAACTAAAATGGCATATTTTGCCACAAAGGTCAGCAAACTTTTCCAGCAGGGGGCCGGTCCACTGTCCCTCAGACCTTGTGGGGGGCTGGACTATATTTTGGGGGGGAAAATATGAATTCCTATGCCCCACAAATAACCCAGAGATGCATTTTAAATAAAAGGACACATTCTACTCATGTAAAAACATGCTGATTCCTGGACCGTCTGTGGGCCGGATTTAGAAGGCGATTGGGCCGGATTCGGGGCCCGGGCCTTAGTTTGCCTACTCATGGGTTACAAGATGGGGTGGGAATCCCAAATTGTACCTTCTATAAAAGAGCACCATGATCTTGGCATGATGTCTGTCTTTTTGTAATTTCCAGAGGGATAGCCATGCTTGTGATTTCTACTGCAACACCAGCTAAGACTCTCATGGCACTTTGAAGACCAACAAATTTATTGTTTTATTAGCTTTTGAGGACTGGAGTTGACTTTATTGACTGAATGATACTCTGGTGACACATCTGATAAAGTAAACTCTAGTCCACAAAAAACTGGTGCCTGTATTTTAATCTTTAAATATGCCACAAGACTCTTTGTTGTATTGTAGATAGCTTAAAAACAACAAGCTGATTTTAATGAAACAGTTTCTCATGTGTGCTTGAAACTGTAATTTAAAGGCTGCTCCAAACATGTCGTTTATTATGCAGTTATAGGAAAAGAAGGCATTGTAGATGTGCAGACATCATAATCCAATGTGCACGTACTGTATATTTATTTTTTGTGATACATGCATAGGAACATAGGAAGCTTCCTTACACTGAATCGGACAATTAGTCCATCTAGGTCAGTAAAAAGGTAAAGGTACCCCTGCCCGTACGGGCCAGTCGTGTCCGACTCTGGGGTTGTGCGCCCATCTCACTTAAGAGGCCGGGGGCCAGCGCTGTCCGAAGACACTTCCGGGTCACGTGGCCAGCGTGACAAGCTGCAACTGGCGAGCCAGCGCAGCACACGGAAACGCCGTTTACCTTCCCACTAGTAAGCGGTCCCTATTTATCTACTTGCACCCGGGGGTGATTTCGAACTGCTAGGATGGCAGGCGCTGGGACCGAGCAACGGGAGCACACCCCGCCGCGGGGATTCGAACCGCCGACCATACAATAGGCAAGTCCTAGGCACTGAGGTTTTACCCACAGCGCCAGCCGCGTCCCTTTTATCTAGGTCAGTACTAATTTAATTAATTGGTAGTGGTCCCCAAGGTTTCTAATGGGGTATTCCCAGTCCTTCCTGGAGACTTGAAGCCAATACCTTCTGCATGCAAAGCAGATGCTCTACCATTGTGTTAAGAACCGTCTCCTATATGCCAGGTGCTGCATATTTTGCCCTCCACAAACTTGTGCCACTGGTAAAAGGAACACTTGCACTTTTTAAAAACCCATAGTATTGGGTTTTTAAAAAATGGATAAGAAATGTATACTTTTTGACACGGTCCTCCGTCTATTTCTATAAACCTTCATTTTATTTTAAACTTTGAGAAATAAGCTTTTTTGTGGAGTAGTGGGCGGGGACGGGGGGAGGCCCGGGATTGCGGTCTGTTAGTTACCTTATTCTACTACCGCTCTTATCCACACCTTTGCGACAGTCAGATTAAAAATTGCTCTGCGTCGTGAAAGCATTTATTAATATAATAAAGACAACGGGGGAGGCTGACAAAAACGCAGAATATCACCCTAGGGAGACGAACTGCATGAAGCACAAATAAACATTGCAAGGGATGGAGGCGAGCATATGCGGCAGGAGTCCTTCCTCTACCCAGCCCGGTTACTACTCCTCCCTGTCGTACCGTTTCTGCTTCTCTGTCATCTCTTTCGCACTCCGGCAGAGCGCGCTAGCGGCCACCGGACCCTCCGGGTCGCGCAGTTCGGCGACATTCCCGACGCTGCGATGCCCAGCCCCGAGCCAAACCCGGCAGCGCCGCAGCACGGGCGCCGCCATTTTGTTCGGAGTTTGTGAGGCGTCAGGTGACCCACCTCCTCTTGCGGCGCCTCCTGGGAAATGCAGTCCCGACCGCGCGCGGACTAGAGGAAACGAAGGGAAGCAAAAAAGCATTTCCCGTGGTGCACCGGGACGGATCCCTTCCAAGTCCAATGGGGAGAGTAGTACGGAGAGAGGGCGAGCTGATCTGTTGCAGCCGTTCCTGCCGGTGGATATAGGCCGATGGTTCACGCTCCCTCTGGTGGCAGGTGGGCGGGTGGGGTGCAAAATTAGGTGCCTGTGGTCTGGCATCAAAAGGAACCTAGGGCAGTACAGTATTCTGTAGAGTAGTCTGCCTGTTCCACTGGTTCACCTCTCTCTCTGTACCCAGTTCACGTACAGAATCCTCTTTCCTATGTCCGTTGCTCCTTATCTGACTATGCATTTATTTTTCAAGTGAGATATAATCTTACAAGGTACTCAGCAAACGTGAAAGCACGGAAATTATACTTTTAAAGATGCATGCACCAGACGAGTCCGGCTTGCACAGAAAATTATGCAATGGAAAGTTCAGTAATTTATCTGGAAATTCTATTCTTTAGCACCGGAGCATCTCCCTGTAATGTGAGCAAAACAATTTCATGCTGAAATGGTGATATGCTCAAGATTATTTATAGCTGTTGTGGGCTGATTTCATTTTTGTTTAAATCTTATCAGGGTTTGGCCTGGTATTGTTTCATGGTGGAAGTGTCTATTCCATCACAAAAATATGTGCATAATCATTGTGGTATGTTGTCAGTCACTTGTAGGTGTTTTATTATAGGAGCAGCTGGGATACTTTAATAGGCAGGCTCCTATAAATGAAATACATTATTCTCTCTGTCATTTACCCTAAGGGAGTGAATCGCTGTTTCTTTTCCGTAAGTGGATATCTAGAGGCTTGATCTCTTGTATGTCCTTGAAAAGATGGACATTCAATAGGTAAGGTACAAGTTGTGCTAGCGTTTCCTCTCTCACTCTGTTACACAGCTATTACACTCTCATTATATTACACAGCTTATTATACTATTGCTGTATTGCCGTTGTTAACTTATTTCTTGCCTATTTGCTACCCTGAGACTTTCCCCCCAAGACCACATGCAAACGAAAGAGCTTGTGGACCTTATCTCAGTTCAAAACAACAGGATGAGGCTGGGTCTACATAGGCAGCAGAATGAGGTGGGAGGTCTGCATGGACTGTGTGACTTCAGACAACAGATGGGAAATCACATTTTGTAATGCTCCCTTGTGTGAACAAATGTAAGAAGAAAACTAGAACAACTCGGTTAGAACCTTGCTCCCTGATATGCTAGCTTTTTACTTGCAATGAACTTTTTGTAGTCATCAAATGTAGGATAATAATAAGAAATGATATATTCTACCTGCAGCCCAAAGTTGTGGTGCAGCCCACACTAAATAACCCCCCCCCCAGGTGTCCCACAAATAATTCTGTGGCATGTATAGCATATATAGACTAGACTTGATTGTGAAGATTTTGGCTAGCACCTGGATCAGTGTCTAGAATGTACTTGGCAAAACGGGGCTGCGGTTTCACAGTTGGGACTGAAGGCAGTTATAGACACTAGTTTAATATTGTACAAACAAATGTGCAAGCATATACCACAGATGCCAGCTGAACGGGTAAATGGCATAAAGAACAGAACAAACAGGCCTGTGATCTACATTCCCAGCCCCCTGAGGCTTCACTTGAATGTGCACTAGATGCTGTTTGTGTCATCTTTGTAGGACACTTGCTTGAAAAGATGATGAGTCATGGGCACTTTGAGTCAGTAGCTGTGATATTATCCAGTAGAGGACAGTGGAGTACACAAGGCCCAAGCCAATATTTTACATTCCCCGAACCATAAAAAAGCTGCAGAAAACAGGGTAGGACACTTTTTCCCCCTTTAGAAAAGGGCACAGTGCTCTATAGAATAATTGCCCAAGTTTTCTGCTTTTGGCTGCAAATAATTATGAAGTATATGAAATTAACGTGGCGTGTAGAAAGCGAGGGACATAAGGTATGGATTGTAAAGCATTCTTCATATTAAAAGTGCTATAGAAATGATAAATGCATGCTTATAATTCTCTATAAATTACTGGTGCTCCTTACCAGACCGGGAGTTAAATGCAGCAGATACTTGTTTACATTTAACTGTTCCATCCAGACTTCAAGTTGATGATTGTTTGTTTTCTGAAATTCTCTCATCCTGCGCAGGAAGAACCAAACTGTTCTTGCAGCAATAAAAGGATTGGAACCAATCCCTCAGTGACACTTCTGGAAGGAAAAAAGGGGCCATTTTGGATCTTATATCATCTGCTGTTGCAGAGCCTTGAAAGGTTTATTAGAGTTTCTGGGTTTTTTGTTTTTTTATTGTGCGAAAAGCTCTGTGTCCAGCACAGCAGAGACATCTATACAGCATCCAGGTCTCATCACATCCAGTTTATCACAGGATTGAGTATTAGTGTAAAAATATGTTATTCTGGTAAAAAAAATCCTTTGCCAATTGTAAACATGAAATTAGCATTGTGTAGGGAGGTACAAGTAAAACCAACACATTCATAAATATGCAGGGCAATCCTATGCATTTCTACTTGGAGGTAAGCTGCACTGAGTTCAATAGGACTTACTCTTGGGTAAGTGTGTATAGAACTGCAGCCATTGTTCTTCATTTTAATTTAGCCAGCATAATGGTATAGAATGGAAAACCGTCTCTTTCTTTTCAAGTTTAATATTACATTGCAGCCACAGTGGTTCTGCAGTAGAATATTATTGGGGAATGCAGAAGAAATCATAAAGCTGTATTTCCTAAATTCTACATGGTATTTGCCCTGTTCTTTCCTGTGCCTGGGTTAGTTTTGCATCAGATGATGTGTGCCTTTTGCATTGTGTTTGAATCAATTCTACAAGATATGCACAAACACACAGTTATTCAGCATAGGGACAGGGCAATTACCAGGTCAGGGCTGTGTTTGTGCGTTCATCACAAAAGAGGCCCAGTATGTATGTTAGCCTTTGCCAGCCTGTATCCTCAGCTGGTTTGGTCTGCATCTCCCATCAGTCCCAACCACCAGGAACTAGGTTGGCAAACAGTAATCTACTGCATCTATTTCAACACTGGAAATAATTTAGGGTTCAACTACTGCTGGAGCAGAGACTTTCTTTGCCAAGGTATGGGGGTCTTCTGTCAGTTTAGGTCAGGAGGTGAGGAATGTTAGGCATTTATTTATGTAAAATGTTTCTATTCTGCCCTAGTGTCTATGCACCACTAAGGGTGGTTAATGACAATTTAAAATCAAAATAGGGGGGGGGGAATGAGTTAAAGCCAATTGGATTTGCAGGGAGATGAGCTAGTCAAGCACCTAGCAAACTAGGACACAGCTGGTTCAGTTCCTTCCAAAGAAGAACTGGTATTATCTGTATTCTGTGTATCTACATTGAATCCTATGGTGGCTTTTCCTCATTGGGAAAGCGTTTTCTAATAACAATCCTTATTACAATTTATTGCACTTAATAGTCACTTTTTAATGAAAAGTGAACCCAGAGCAGATTATACAATAGAATACAAAAAGCTAACCAATATAAAACTAAAACAAAAGCTGAAAACATTCATATACACAGAAGGCACACTAACACATCCCACCCACTAAAGGAGAACACAGTACCTAAAACATTTCAAGTTAAGGCCAAATGCCGGCTCACTTAACCCTTTCTTTTCCTTTTCTCTGCATGCATAAACCCTTATACGTTAACATATATAATAGACTTCCCAAGTGTTGGGCATTAGGAAATGTATGAAATGTGTTTTTCAAATTACTGATTTCCACATAACTTTAAATTTAGGGATAAACTGGAATTTGCTTGGTAGTATTGTTTCTACTGTTGCGGGGATTTATTTTTTTAGAACATCTTCTCAGGAGACTTAATAACATCAAGATGTGGTTTTAGTTCCTCTAAAAAGTGATTTATATTTCTTCTCTTGTTTCCCTAACTATACTAAATACCAAAAAGTCGCCTCATAAAGTCATAGGACTGTAATGTTGGAAGAGATCCCAAGGAACATCTAGTCCAACCCCCTGCAATGCAGGAATCACAATTAAAGAATCCCTGACAGATGGCCATCCAACCTCTGTTTAAAAACCTCTAGTGAAGGAGAGTCCACCACCTTCCGATGGAAGTCCATTCCACTGTCAAATAGCTCTGACTGTCAGAAAGGTCTTCTTTGATATTTAGTCAAAATCTGCTTTCTTGTGATTTGAACCCACTGGTTGCCATCATCTCAAGGTTCCTCCCTGTTAGGGTTAGGGCAAATGAGAGAGAGAGAGAGAGAGAGAGAGAGAGAGATACTTCATAAAACTGAATGTTAGATGCTTGGGTGCCATTTTGAAAATTCAGAGTGTATTCATAAAAACCATTCCAAGCATGCAATTCAAGAAGAGAGCAGCATGTTTGTAAAAGAAATACATAGATTACATTGGACTAGCAAAGGATCAATATTTGTAATGTAATTAATTGCAACTAGAGTAGTGTTATAGTCATAGATTAGTGGGAAGACCACCTCACTCCTGAGAGCAGTATCTTGGGACTGGTGGAGCCTCTCTAAGTGTGCTCCTGAAGAATAATGTGCTATGAGAAAAATGTGAATGGAATGCAGCAGTACTAAAGCAAATAGTCAAGATTGTCCGCATTCTTGTCAGCTGTTGGTCTTACGAAAGCCTTAGAAATAGAAGGGGCGGAGAGGACAGAGATCTACTTACAAATTTCTGCCCTGGCTGATTGTACTAATTGGTCCTGCTAATGAATTATCAAATTAGGCCAATGCATTTGATCAGTGTCTGTGTGTGTTTAGCGGGGGTTGTGGTTGGAGATACCACTAAGCATCTGTTAGAAAGCTTTAAATCCTATTTTAGAACTGGAGATGTGTAAACCTTTCAATGCTAGGATCATTCCCAGAGATACTAAATACCCAACTAAAAACTCAGTGAGCACACTCCTGTTATAGCTGTAGATAACGGGATGTCTGGATAAA